CTGTGCAAGTTGAACTGTCTGAATCAGCCACTTCATGTCAGTTTTGCCATCTTATTAGTGCTCTATTTTTAAACATTGCAAAGTTCTTTTGTTCATTTTATTATCCGTTATCACTATTTTTCTAAATATTTGCTGCTAACTTTATTCAACCAATAAAATTATTTTAAATTTTCTCACACTTCATTCTTAATCTGATGACGAAAGATTTCAGGTTGAATGATGTTTAAATGAAATTTTTAAAAATTCTCACGGACGCAGCGTTCTCGGGAGGACCGGCTGAAGATCGAACTTACAACTTGAAGCAGTTCCACTTCCACTGGGGTAGCAAGGATGGTGTTGGGTCGGAACATAAAGTTAATGGAAAGTCATATTCTGCTGAGGTAAGTCTCATTTCGTCGAGTACTACCACTGGGTACTACTACGTTTGAGTTAATACTACTGCTACTACTACTAACCACCAGCATGACTCTACGTTGAATAAATAGATCGGCGAGTTAGCTGAGTCGATAGAGGTGCCATGTTTCGCTTTGTTATTACGCGAAGGCCTAATTTGAATACTGTCTGTTCGAAACTTACACTCATGTGCGTATGAAGCGGTGCTTGCGCGTGCGTATAAAATGCACGTCGTGTGGTGTGGCGTGGTGTGGATATTAGGGTCTTTGTGGCACAAAAGTTTAATTTTAAATATAGAAAGACGTGTAAGCAGTGTTGCACTTCTCAGAGCTGCATGATAAAGAACAAAAAAACTTCTACATTTGCTTCGTTAGGAACTTTAGTTTGTATACTTGACTGGTAAGTTTTTTAAAACCGAATTAATTAGTTGCAGCCTGGATAATTATTTCGTTATTGTTCGTATTTCGTTTATTAAAAATTCTTCATATGCTCTTTTCAATTGATAGACGATTTATTTAATAGACTTAGGATTGAGACTTCTGTCTTTTGCTTCGCATTGTATGCAATTAAATAAATTGAATCGAAATCTGCGTTTTCTTCCAAGAAAAGGTTTTAATTACCCTTATTAACGAAGCATTATTTCATAAAAATCAATTGACATGTGGGTAATAACAACAACAAATAGTAGAAAGTTAATAACATTAACATCAGTTTTTAAAAAGTTTAAAAATTACAAAAGAAAAAACTGAAAAACGATAGTATCAGTGAATGAGAAATTATTAATTAGAAATGATTTGATTGACATTCATGTCTCCATCCACATCAACAACATTAATAATTACAACAACCACAATATACGACGACATCCACAATGACCACAACAACATCCACAATGACCACAACAACAACATCAACAATGACGTCATCAACAACAATGACTTCATCAACGACAATGACATTAGTTGCACCTGGTGCACTGGAATTCAAAGTACGATTCATTTGAAGATGCTCTGCAAGAGGAGGATGGTCTCATGGTTCTTACAATGTTTATCAATGTTAGTTTGTATTGTATGTATGTTTGTATGTATTTATTTATTTATGTATGTTTGTATGTATCTATATATCTATATATGTATGTAAGGTGTGTGTGTATGTATGTCTGTATGTACGTGCGTACGTACGTATGTATGTATATTTGTTTGTATGTTTGTATTGTATGTTTCTGCTTCTATGTTGGTTTGTCTGTGTATGTTTATTTTTCTGTCTTTTTGTATATCTGTCTATCTTTTTATGTTATTTTGTGTTTGTTTGCTTGTCTGTCTCTCTGTCCGTCTGTTTATATGTATGTCTGCTGTTTGTTTGTATTTCTTCCGTGTGTCTATCTGTGATTGTGGTTGTATACTTACTTTTTTGTGTTTGTACTTATGATTGTTTGTTAATGTGTTTGTCTGTCTGTATGTATATGATGTAAAATTTTTTTTATTTGATCAATTTTAAGCATGCCTGCTCATACAACTGTGTTACAAAAATGTCTTACTTCAGAGCTCAACGACACGCTTTTGAATACAGTAATTATATTAATTAATCATAATTAAAATGAATATTCCACATTTATTATAATTAGATTGGTGATGAGCATGAAGAGATATCAAAGTTGACGAATTTGTTTGAGAATATCACCTTTCCGGACGACAAAGAGATACTTCCGGATGGATTCGATTTCAACAAACTTCTACCTGGTCTGTTTGATTATTCCTTTAGTTTGGTTTGTTTAGTTTGTTAATTTTTTTAAACTTACTAGATTAGTTTAGTTAGTTTAATTTTTTGAACTTGTTTGTTTGGGTTAAGTTGTTGCTTGATTTATATGATAGGTGTAAATTGTTTTAATTCGTTTAACTTGTACGATTTTTTTGTTTAACTTGTTTGTTTAACTTGTTTGTTTAATCTGTATGTTTAATTTGTTTGTTCAATTTGTTCATTTGGTTAATTTTCGACTGTTGTATTGTTGTGCTGTTGTGTACTTAAACGCCGGTCATAACTGTTGTTGTTTTGTGTGATGTGCAGTTTTGTTAGTTTGTTGTTATGGTTGTCGGTGCATCGGATGATTTTCATGCCTACCTCCGTCACTTCATAATGCTATTTTTTTCCTGCTCCTGTTTAATGTTGCCCTCCGCTCTAGTGCTAAAAAAAATGCCAAATGCCAGGCTGTTAAAAAAAAGAACATTTTTTTGAGTTTACTTCAAAAAAAGAGACCTTGCTATGGCTTCCAACGAAAACAACATTAGAACATCCAAGTATAATAGCACACACGCACGCACATTTATACAAACGCGTACACACACACACACATATATATATATATATATTTATTTTTTAATATTCTATAAATTATACCGAATGTTTGGCGTTAATATGTTTGTAGTTCGTTTCTCGAATTTCTGTGATCAACCGACGTAATCTAACAATCGAACAAGATCGCGAGCAGCGACTGTTCCATCTCTCTCGAGAATTAGAAGTTAAAAGGAAGGTAGTTCAAGACTTGTCAAACGAACTACAAACATTTTAAAGCCAAACATTCGGTAGAATTTATAGAATATTTTAAAAATTATGGTCAATTACCAACATATATTTATTTATATACATACATATATATATATATATATATATATATATATATATATATATATATATATATATACGCGCACATGCACACATTTTCATGCAAACAAAAACACACATATTTGTGTAAATATGCAATGTAAATATACAGTCATTTTGAACACACCACATAATCTCATGTTCAGGCATTCGATGAAAGCACGTACTCAGACGCATGCATTTCATTTCAAATGCATTTCAAACGTGCATATGTACACATCCACATACACACATTTACGTACATATGCGCGCACACATATACAAACATAGATACATACATACATACATACATACATACATACATACATACATACATACATACATACATACATACATACATACATACATACATACATACATACATGTCAGATCAGGTGACAGCAGGGAACTGTTTTTTGCAACCAACCACATTTCGTGCTTGTTGCAGCGGTTCCTGCGTGTCTGTGTGCTTGAAAATATCCAACTGAATGCCGACATGTGCAATTAACGACAAATCAAAGTGTTAATCCATTTGTTACTTGATGTTTGACGGTTCAGTGTCACTCATCATGTTTTGGTTTTAACATACATACATACATACACACACACACACACACACACACACACACACACACACACACACACACACACACACACACACACATACACACACACACACACACACACATACATACATACATACATACATACATACACACATACACACACACACACACACACACACACACACATACATACATACATACATACATACATACATATAAAACACACACACACACACACACACGCATACATGAACCATTGTTACTGCAGAGAACACAGATGAGTACTGGACGTATAAAGGTTCGCTGACCACACCTCCGTGTCTCGAAGTCGTACAATTCGTCATCTTCAAGGAGCCTATTGAAATTTCTTCCGATCAGGTTTGTTTAGTTGTTTTGATTCTCAGAAGTTTTGTTTAGATCCGCTTGTCTGTCGTTGTTTCTCACCATTTCACGTAATCATCGATACAACAGATTGAGGCATTCCGTTCGCTGAAGTCCAGTCCGGCCAACAGGGAAACCGACGACCCTAGCTCCAATGACAACAAACTCGTCGACAACTACAGACCCGTCATGCCCCTTGGAAACCGGGTCATCTATGCATCCTTCCAATAAATTTTTCGTTTATTCATTCATTCATTCATTCATTCATCCATTCATCCATCCATCCATTCATTCATACATTCATTCATTCATCTACCCATTCATTCATCCTCTTTACCTATCTAATAATTATGTCTATTTCTTTTTCCATTAATATTATTCCATCATTTGGCGGGTTGTTTTGATTGATTGATTATTTCATAGGTTCATTATACTGACATTTAATTTTTGCTGTCACCAATTTAATTCCTTCATGTTCAGCTTCAAAAATTGAAGTGGGGTTGGTTAGATTTAGGACGTAACTGTGTATTCAAAACAGTAGATTGGGTCAAAAATGGCGTTACCTGTATCTTTATGGCCCAGATACTTTTTCATTCAAGCAGCGCCCAGATGATACACTATCAGATATAGATACTAATGAGGGGGTTCGAAAAGGTGGGCGATATAAAAAACAAAACAAATTAAAAAGATAGATAGATAATTTTTCAAATTTCAAAAATTAACTTACCGTAACATAGAAATATAAAACTTTTTTGTTTAAATATTAGATGAAAAGATGGAAAGATATTAGTTTGAGCATTTCATTTTTATATCTTAAGGTAGAGACATCAATAGATAGTGAGGATATCATACGCATACGCATTTTTCATCTCGTATCATAGTAGCTAATCATTTTCTCCATACATCTAGTTATACAGTATGGCTATATCATAAGCTAGTCTCGGTGAAGTTCTGTAATCCGTGTGGTTTAATAACAATAATTAGACTCTCCGGTTTATATATTTCAATTTTACTTAACTTGCAAATATTGATATTTTAATTTCTCCACATTCATATAATATAAATATAAACTTCTTTCAAAGCAATAGTTTATAGAACGTACGTTTAAGCTTTAAATGTAATTGTTAAACTTGAACATTCACTCTGAAACAAACCATGGCCAGTCACCGATATTTAACTTGATCATAGTCATCCTGTCTTCTATTCTTTTTTTTGTTAATTTTTTAGAAGCAAATAAAAGTATCGTATCGTCAGATCACACCACTAACGCTAGGATTATGTACCTTCAACATTCATGTCTATATCAGTTACCACAAATATAATTTATTTTAAATATTAAAAAATAGTTATATGATAAAAAAAAGGATTGCATATATCAATGTTATAATTACCATATCACAACAACTCCTTCAATATATACGCTGCTATTTAAGAATAATTTTTATACGTACGTAAAATACTGCAACTTTGTCGTTAATTAATAACGTAAGCAAATAATACACACACACACACACACACACACACACACACACACACACACACACACACACACACACACATATATATATATATATATATGTGTGTATATATATATATATATATATATAATTTTGTTATTTGTGTCATCTCCATTTATTCAGAGATTATTACATAATTTTATTTGTTTGTACATCTACTGTTGATTTAGTTTACGTAACGATTGGATGTGATGTTCAATCAATCAATCATTCAATCATTCATTCCAATTTTTCAAATTCAGTCCAGTTCATGTTTACAACTGTGCGTCTTTGTGTGTGTATGTGTGTCTCCTTATATCTGTGAGCGTTTATGTTTCTCTCTTTCTCTCTCTCGTTCTCTTTCTCCTCTTTCTCTCTCTTTCTTTCTCTCTCTCTCTCTCTTTCTCTCTCTCTGTCTGTCTGTGTGTGTGCTTGTTCGTCTATCTTTGTGTTTGTTTATGTGTCTCTATATCTACGTTCAATGTGTATTTCAACTTAAGTTATGTTTACATGCTGTTCTTGCATACTGGGTTGTATCCAACGCACTTGAATGAACACTAAAATATGTATATTTGTGTACGTGTGCGTGAGTGTGTGTATGGAGATGCTTTTTAATTCCATGACATGAACGATGCCTAAAAGTCTTATGCTTAGGAAAATGATGATAGACATTTATTTATACCCCTGTTAAGTTTAAGGGTTTTTTTTCAAGTGTTTTTGGATGTAAATAAACAAATGTGTGTATGCGTGTATCTGTGTGTATGTGTGTGTGTGTGTGTTTGTGTGTGTGTGTGTGTGTGTGTGTGTGTGTGTGTGGTGTCTGTCTGGTGTCTGTCTGAAAATACCGTCTTTTTTATACTTTCAAGATTTCACTTAACTGAAGCAATAACGACACAGCGTTTATGTCATTCATCATCAACATAAGCTTTAAGAATTAGCACCAATATTTAGTAATAGTGATATAATATAACAGTTAAGTGATACTAGTTAATAGTAAGTAAGTAAGTTAGTAACATAATTCATAAGCAATGATTCTTCATCATCAACATTAACAACAATGATGCTAAATTATTATTGGTTGTAATAGTCGTTAACTATTAACATCATCATCATCATCACTTAATCACACGAGATAGCTACATGTTAATAAATAGCTATCACACTTAGCTAACTTGATAGCAATAGCAACACAAGCCATTCTTCATTTCGGCGCTACTAACGATTCGTTTGCTTTTCAGATCAATAAGAATCATTAACTGCATGCATTGCTCTAAGCCTTTTCTGTTCGATGTTCTTCAATGGTTGTTTATTACGTAATGCCTGGATGGGCATTTATATGCAAAGCTATACTCAGCAGTACACATATAGAAACTGAGAAGCATATACACACATGCTCACACACACACAGACACCTGCAAACTTTTAAACATCTTCATACACATACAAACGCATTCGTATAGGCAAGCACATGCACCCAAACATGCACAGAACACTCACAATTGTTCGCACACTACAGGCGATTATACAAACTTTTTTTTTTCGTCTGACATTATTGAACTTTGTTTTATTGCCTGGAGTGAGTTAGTGAAGTGCGGTGAAATGAACGTGTCTGATCGTAAATTCCGTCGCTACTCAAGTCTGTGAAGTGTTGTTGTTGTGTGTTGTGTTGTCTATCTTTTCCGATAATTTTTTTATATGATTTTTTTTTGTTTGATTAAATTTTTCATTGATTTGTTTACTGATAAGCAGCGTCTTAACTTGCATAGGTGATATTTTTTTTCTTCTCATGTTTTCATCAATTTTTTTTTAAAGTTTGATTTAAGTAACTTATTTCATTTAATTTGATACGAGTAACTGCTTACCATACTGCTATATACATTACATGTTACACGTTACATAAGTGAATGCATGTGTTGGTTGACGCATCATTTATAAGGGGTGCAGTTGGTGGCGTGCCGAGGACTGGAACGGGGGTGGGGCCACTAAAGTGAGTATGATGTAAAATTAAAAAAAATCATTATCACTTTATTTTAAAAGTTTTTTTTTAAAAATGTTTATGTCAGATTATTAAAAAAAATAATTAAAAACTCATCCAACACGAGTTTTCAATGCCAATCGAGCTCCACGATCAATCGACTATTTTTTTTCTCTTCAGATTTGTCACTTTAGTAGTTATGTAAATATGGATTACAAAAATTAATTGTAGTAAATAGAAGAGGGGGGGGGATAAACAACAGGCCGTGTTGCCGCGGTCCGCCTGCCACACCCGCTTTGCCACATCGCTGCATCAATATGTATTCAATGTGTTGCACGCCATCTCAACCATGTACCCACCAAGCATGCAATTAAATGCGATTACTTTGTGAAGATTGTCACGTTCTTATTGCTCTAAGGAAGAAATACTTTTGAATTTATAGGATTATATTTCTTAAATATTTAAAAAGAACTATTCGAAATTTGCAAACAGATTGGTTAATTAGTAATTAATTATTTAATTAATCTGTAAAAATGATTGACATAAACATCCTTTGTGATTAGATTCCGTAGAATTTTTACGGTTTTTTTTTACTTTCAACTCTACAACGTTTTCAAATTTTATAGTAGTTTTATGATGTTAAAAAGTTTGTTTAGCTATTTTGAAATATTTTTATCAATGAAAATTCTGTAACCGAGATACTCGTCAAATTGTGTTAGAGGATTATATTTGACGGATAGTTGGGTTTTAAATTTCCGTAGAATTTACTTACTACTTTTAGTATTTTATAACTTTTAATAGGTTCTTATTATTACCAAGTTTACACCACTACTACATTACTCTTACTAACATATAACATCCATCCGCTGCTTTTTTTACTAAATTATTACTTTCACTTCCTTACTTATCTCAGTATTTTGAGCTATTTCTTGGCCACCGGCAAAACTTTCATATTTAAATAGCCGATGAGTACTATTTTCCCGCCAGAATGAAATAAGTAGTATTTTATGTCAAATGCGTTTCGGATGTATGTTTGTTTTTGGTTTCTAATGTTTCTCACGTGAGGTTTCTACCTTTTTTTGTGTTTTATGCGTGTGTGAGTAATTATCTTATACTGCTGGAATTGTATTGAAACGCTTGAAATTTTTTAAGATCAAACTATTTTATATTGTGTAACAACAACTCAGTAACTTATGTAAAAATTGTACCATTTACAAACACTGCAAAATTATTATTTAGATTTATAAAAAAACATTCAAGGTTTTTCATTTTTTTAAAACGATCAATTTTTTTTTTGATTGAATAAAATACTTTGGCTACTTTCCCAAAACGAGAAATTATTTGCATGTTTAAAAAAGGTTAAAAATTTAACGATTCAAGTTTTATTAAACTAACCTAAAAAAAAGTTTAGCTATCCTTCATTTAGTTAGTTTAGTTATTTAGCTACGTCAAAACTATATGCTTTGAAATACTCAATTAATTAAAAACATAAATTTATTCAAAATGATAAATTTTTATTGTAACAGCTTGATATGCATAAAAAGAATGAAAGAAATTTATAAACAGTCATCAAACCTTAACACAGTCAATACTATAAATTACTAACCCCAAAGACAAATAAATTCATCAGAGTCACTCATCATCGAATACTAGGCTACCGCAATTTCTTAACAAATGACGAGGATAATTAAATATGAACAACTTGGCTGAGAAAACAACGATTAAATAGATGAAAAAGATTAAAAACTCAAGCAAGAAGAAGGGACTGAATAATAAACATGATTGTAAAAAAAAATAAATTAAAAAAAATGTCATTTTTAAAGGCACATTTACAAGTAGAAATGGATGAAAAATAGACGCAAATAATACAATCAATAGCTGACTAATTTCAATATAATAGAAAAACAATCATAAAAATAATTATCGACACACTCACTAATTAGGCGCTACAAAAATTGACTGGATGAAATAAATCATGATTAATTTTACCAGAAACAAAGAAAAATCCAACTATAAAAATAATTTTCTTAGCAGCCATGCCAAATAAACATAGACACAACCAACGCACGTTAATATATAATATACTGGCGGACAAATTAAGACAGATATATAGGGAATAAATAAATCGAAACAAAATCATCAATATATGCGTAGAAAAGCATGAAAATACATTGGAAATAAGTTAATTTTGACAGAGTACACGTGTGATAAAGTCAACAAACGTAGAATTAACTAAAAACAACGTATAGAAAAATAATTTTTAAACAAAACTTCTACGTAAATTATGTTTCATTTATCATAAATAGCCTAATTTTTCGTTGAACATTAAATCCGTCAACACTACTCTAAAGAAAAAGATCACGTTTGGTCCATTGCAAATTGATATTACAAAATCAATTAATTATTTAAATTATTAGTTATTTAAATTCACTCTTAAGTATTTTTCTGATTCAATATAAATAGGCATAAGATACAAATTCGTTTTATTAAATTAACGAAAATTAAAATGCAATAAAAAGTAAAATTTTAAAAAATATATATGATCGAACTGAACACACACGCGCGCACATAAACACACACACACACAAACAAACAAACACACACACACATAACAGTTTAAAAATAAATTCTGCTAGACATAAACACAACAAATCATACATAACAGGACGATGAATAAATAGTCAATGATACAAATAAGGGGAAGAAAAATTTTAAACTGAAAAAAATTAATACATATCAACAATTATATATATATATAATAGTAATAACATAATTTAATATTTACCAATACGTAATTTCTAACAAAAAAGACAACGAATCACTTGAATACGTAAATGAAACACATTAGTATAGAAATCTGGAGATAGATAGAATCAAGTAGAGAATAATAAAACAACACTCCCATTTTTTTTCCACACAACTACAGGGGCAGGGCACATCCCCAACACCTGTCAATCAAATGAGTCGTTCCTCTGGTGGTATCTTGATGATGTCGAAGAAGACGTTCCTGGAAGCAATTATTTCTTCGTCGTTGGGATTGTACTTTCCCTCTGTCGCTCGCCTTTTCAATATGCACCTTACCAGAAACACCAGACCTTATAAATATTGCAGATAATTAAAATCATATAATTAATGTAATTAAATTATATTATTATATATTATACCAACCTATCAATCAGTCATTCATTCAATCCGATCAGCCAACCAACCAACCAGCCAGTCAACCAACAAACCAATGATAAGGAGTATAAGAAAGAACCCGCCAACAAAAATGCCAATCAGCAAGGAGTTTCTCAATGAATAACCATCCTGCAATATATTCATTGTGTTGTCATTTTAAAATGTTATCACTATATAAAGGTTAAAGGTTTCTCTCTCTCTTTCTGCTTCAGCGGTTTCAACGACAAACACATACATCGTACATGAATACGCGTGAAAACCACGCATCGTACACATTGCATATGATAGGCGGGGATCTCTTTCCATTTGAACCCATTCATTGCAATAGCTAGTAAAATTGTTGAATTATGAAACATAACTGAGGTAGTAATACAAGAATAAAAAAAAATTCATACTGAGTTCTTGGGCTGTGTTGGATCTTTCAAACTCAAGTCTGTGCCATTGTTGATGATGCTGTTGTTGTGAATAATGTCAGCGTTATTGTTGATGCTATGGATGTTGATACTGTTGTTAGTGCTGCTGTTGTTGTTGTTGTTACTGACTCCATTTAATGTAGCTGCATTTCCAAATGAATCATACACCAGAAGAATGTTTGAAGGAACTTCTGTAGTAACGCTCGTCATGACAAATGCGCTATTGTTATTAAGACGTGTGGATGTTGTAGCCTGCATGTTTGTCGCCTGTTTTTCAGCTGTAGTTGTAGCAGTAGTAGTGGTCGCTACAGTAGTAGTAGTGCTAGTGGTAGTAGTAGTAGTAGTAGTAGGTGTTTCTGGTTGTATTACTGCTGTTGTTAAAATATCTAAGGGCGCTGTGGTTAATTGTGAAGTTGATGCAGCTGCCACTGTTGACGTTACTGCTGCTCCCAATCCAAGTGTGGATGTCAACAATTTTGTTGTTGTGGACGATTCTGCTGCTGTTATTGTTGTTAACGCTGCCACGATTAACGTGGTGGTTGTTGCTGGTGTTTCAACATGCAATGTTGTTGTTTCATTGGTTGTTGCATTTGCAGATGGCAACAAATGGACAGGTAAAATAACAGCGGCATCTTCCAGCTTTGATATCACTAAGCTACCATTTGATCCTACTGTTACTGCCACAGCCTGTTCCTTTCCATCTGAAAATAAATGAACGCGATCAAAATTGAACCGCCGGTCAATTGTTCAAATTTGGTATTATCAAATCCATAAATTATGAAGATATTATGATAAAATTATTAATTATTAAAAAATAAAAAATTGACATAATTATTCTTGCAATTTCATTCTTTAACATGAAATTAAATTATTTCTTTTTCCACATCAATACATACCTCCACTGCTAAGAGAACAATTGGAAAGTGTAGTGGAGCGATCGGTAGATGAGTCAAGGAAATGCAACACAAATACACCAGACCTCCATGTTCCTTCAGTACCGTCAAAAAATATGTTACTACTTACTGTTATCTGCCACCTGGAAAGATCTCGTTGCTGTTGCGGTTGCTGTAGCGGTTGCTGTTGCGACAGCTGCTGTTGTTGTTGCTCTTGTGGTTGTAATAAACCGGTTGTAGCAGCATCACAAACGACAGATAGATGACGGCCACCCGAACCTGTTAATTATGATTAGTCGTTTGATGAAAGATAAAATAACATATTGGGTGAAAATTTAATCTTCATCATCAATTTAATTCTTTTCAGGGGGGGGGAAGAGGTGAAAGAAAAATGGTTTGCACAGCCACCTAAATCAAAATAATACATTTAAAATAGTCCAAAACAATGCACCAACCACTGGCACTACTACTGTTGCTGTTGTTTAAATTAAGAAGATCCCCTGAGAAGCAAGGATATATCTGGTGAGTATAATACAAAATCAACGAATCATTGTGATTTTTTTTTAAGTATTAGAAACTATTACAATGCGAAAATATGAAGAATAATAAAATAACCAGAAAAAAACAGTATGAAAAATTTTAAAAGTTACAAAATGGTAAAATAAAAAGAAAAATTTAAAAAAAAAGCACACCCATCCCTACAAAACAGGTCTGTAAAGTACCAACACTGGCTTCTATACACAACACATACAATCATACAAAACAACAACAATAATAATAATAGCAATACTAACAACAATAATAATAATAATACTGATAATATTACAAGATACACATTATGATGATGAAATAGTAACAAACTTACAATGCTATTTACAGTAGTGCTGGGAGGGGTGATCACAGTATAATTGTTATTATTATTATTATTATTGTTGTTGTTATTGTTGTTGTTTTCATTTACAACACTGTTGATGGTAGCACTGCAAATGTACTCAGACTGAAATTGAAAAAAAAAGAAGTTTCAGATGAATAAATTATTATCAACATATCAATGACGTCATCACCACCAGCACCACCACCATCATCCTCATCATCATCGTCGTCATCATCCACACCACTACCACCATCATCATCATCATCATCATAATCACCAATATCATCATCATCATCATCATAATTATTAATATTATTGTCCTCATCATCACCAACTGAACCATTAAATTATTGCAGTACATTGTATATATTCTATTATATATAGTCAATGATCAGTCATATTAACTGAACTATGTAAGGCTATAAGAAGCTATTAAAATATTTCTCATAAACCAATTATGAGGAAACAAATTTTTTATGAATCTCTTAGAAAAAAATTTATCTAACATTCATGTACACACACACACACACACACACACACACACACACACACACACATACACACACACACACATACACACACACACACACACAAACACACACACAAACACACACAAACACACACACACACACATATATATTATTCAGTCTGCAGTATGCACACCACACATCACATATTATTCAAGAATATATCTGTGTGCAATATGCATGCATGCATGCAGTATATGTATGCATGCATGTATATACTATGTACATGCATGCATGCATGTTTGTTTGTATGATGCGTGTATATTACTGACAAAATCCTTGAAGCTAAAAAAATATTTATTCATATGTTGCATTCGCAGGCATGAAATAATACATTTAAACCATATCTTTCAATTAATATCTATATTATGTTGTTTTGAAATTTTTTTTCTTGTTCCATTTTACTATGTAACACAAAACAATGAATAATCAGTGAAACTGTGAACCCCATTTGGATAGCAACTCCAATTATTATTGCCAACTGACTAAACTAAGTTCTGAACTGCAGATGATGACTCTATAAGTGCCATCATCATCATCATCATCATCATCATATTATTATTATAATTAACTATACATATTGAGTTCTGAAAAAATTACTAATTGTCTTTCCAACAAAATAATTACTTATATATATATATATATATATATATATATATATATATATATATATAAAGTGAGAGAGAGAGAGAGAGAGAGAGAGAGAAAGAGAGAGAGAAGAGAGATCTAAGCACAATTGCTATTTAAGCCAATGTACCATACCAATGTAAAAGAATTAATCATAAATAACAATATATCAATTATATAAATAGTTTAATTTGATCCTATAATTAACCCAATTCATATTAATTAACTAATTAATTAATTAATTAGTGCTAAAAGATAATAAGAAGTTCAACAGCCATAATCAATTATCCAATTTGTTAGTGAATCAGTGGAAATATTTTTTTTTAATTTAAAAAGTTCAAAAATTTTGTCTTTTTCACCCAAGTGTCATCTAATGAAGAACATAACATACTGATGCTATTAGAATAAGAAGAATGAATTAGATTGTTATTCAACTGTCAGTTCTTCAAATTTCTGAATTATTTTTAATCTAATCATGATAAGATCCTTTTTGTAATAAATAAATAAATAAAAGCAAGTATCTTAACTCAAAAAAACAATAAATATGAAGAAAAATTAAAATATATAACTATCATGTCACAGATCCATAGAAATATAACTAAAAATTATGAATAAATAGGATGATAACCACTTTTGATGACATATTAATATAAATAAAAAAACTTTTAATAAAAGTTAATCAATCTTACTTTCTTAAATTCATGTAGAAAATTATTTAAAAAACCAGAATAAATGAAATTCTAATAAGTCAGTGAGTAAGTGAGAGAGTAAGTAACTAAAGTAAGTAAGTTAATAAGTAACTAAAAATATACATCCGTCTAATTCTAATAGCCACTAGATTTAGTATGGATATATTATAGAGGATGAGTTAGTTCATTGCATAAACTGTTGTTAGTTAGTTATATAAATGTAAATCGTATTATAAGTTGGTCAAATTAAATTAAATAGTTAGTTTTTTAATTTTAAATAGTTACCTAGTGAATGAAATTGCATCTTATTTAAAAGATTTCGCTTTTTAAAAATATATTTTTTAAACTAATTACTAAATAAGTAAATCATTCCATAATCAAATGATAAAAATCATAAAATTAAAATAAAATGAGATACATAAGTGATAAGTGTGATACTATGTGTGTGATGATAAATAATGAAAAAAGCCAAAAAACCTTATTATCTTGAGATTTGCAATCAAAACAATAATCGGTTGACCCCAGAACGAATCTTGTTCCTAAACAATTTAGGTAAGCAAGTACTAAAAAAATTAGGGATCTAGCGACACCATGTCCGGAAGAACAAAAGTTTTTTTTAAATTTAATAAACATAATCGCCACGACATTTAAATAAACTATTGAATTTAGAAATCCTATTTAATTAACCGGTTCTTTTTATTTTAACGATTTAGATTGAAATTTCTTATCAACCTGGCCAAACAAAGCTTAGCATAGTGTTTAACATTCGATAGAATTTGTTTTCTAATCGCATATCTTATTGAAGCGCTTCATTCATTACATTAAAAGACTCAAAGCAATTTACCGAAATAGGTTATTTTTATTAAACTAGTCAATTAAATATAATTCTGAAAATGCTTACAAAAACTCACATACACTTACACTCACCCCAACGTCAGGAAATGATATAAAAATTCCAAGGCATAATACAATTTCAATGAAAAATCATGAAATTATCGACTGGTTTTTGTTGAAAATGTCGCAATCTATTAAAAACCTCATTAAAATAATCTTTTTTATGCAGCTCAACAGCGTTTCAGCAAGATGCGGCTATTTTAACGCCATTGGATCATAAGAAACTGATGAGATTGCTGTGACATAAATAACATTCAGAACCATGGACATAATCCATGTTCAAAACATCACAACACCAAACTTGAGAAATTTAATAATCAGAATAAAATGTCATTGGAAAAATTACGGTCTCCAGCATCATGCAAACATCTTTTAGCAAAGTTATCCGTTTGTCATTCCACTCCATCTGTTATGTGGCACACTACCAGTGGCTGATCTAGGGGGAGGGGGGGCAGAAGGACACTGCCTTTCCCCTTTGTAAGCAGTTTTTTAATAAGTTAGAAAAAGAACCGTTTTATGTGTTGAAATCGATCAAAATTTGAACATGACAAGCAACCAAAAGGTCGCCAGCCACACGACTTCCTGAATTCCTATTATCTATATTGATACAAAACACGGGTCGTGGAACTGCAAGACAGTGTAATGTTAAGTAAACTTGGCTTCACGTGAAACGTTCAATGGAGTTGTATGTAAAGCAGGGAGTGGTGTCGTCGAACTCCGCAAGAAAATTTTCAAAATAATTTATATTTTCACCTAACATTCAACGTTTCAGGCGTGATATTATTTTGATAAATTTGAAATTTCAACAATTAGTTTAAAAAATTGATTTAAAATATAATAAAGTAATATAATTGAGTTTTAACTTTAATCTTGAATGATGTCAAACAATTTTGGAGAAGACGACTACTTGACGACCACAGGAGCTCCTCTGCCAGATCGAGCAAACAAATTCGATGTCGGCGGGATTGTAGTTAAGTTTAAGATTTTAATTATTTCAAACAATTTGTATCTATCTTGAACAATTTATTTCAACAAACAAAGCTTTTGTTACTAAATTCATTGCGCTGTAACTTTAAAGCTTATTATTATTGATATTTTCTTTTAACAAGCTGCCTGTCAGTCAGCTATATATATGTAGTTATTTACAAGACCACATCTTCATGTCTGACAATTTATAAAAAGTAAAAACACAGCAGACGACTGCTGCCGCAATTTAAATTCAATAAAATTAAACAAAATACTTTGTTATCAATTGTTAAGTTGAAAAAAATCACTTTTCCTAATAACATTTTCGTCGTTTCGTCATTCCTTGTTAATTGTTGTCACACTCTACTCGTTGTACGATGTACGACTTAGTGATTAAAAACTTGAACCAAAAAACATTTATAGCGATTTGATGTTAGTGGTTGGTTTCATTTGCACCAACAGGCCTCCCGCTGATCATCTTCGCTGCTACCATAACGTTTCTGACAATGCTTCTCTTCATTTGCTGGTGCGTGCGAAGGCGTTACATTCAGTAAGTAAGAATTTATTTATTAATTTTTGCTTCGAGTCCCTAATTTCTTCAACGTGGTGTGTTAAAAATAATTTTTTAGCGTGAACTGTCCAACACATTCGAGTTAACACGATGAAATTGAAATAACCACCACTGTTGATTCAGGAGGTGGTGGGGGAACAGACCGGCCTACATGATGAATCATTACAGGTGGGTAGCAAGGAGCGAGGATCCTCAATGGCACAGTACAGACCCCGATGAAGTTCGATTCAGTGATAATCCTCACTATGCGTCCCGACAGCAATCAGTTGAACAGTTTCAGCCCCCACATAGACTTTCGCAGGAATCAAGGTTCATATGATTTTTTAGATAATATAAATTACGTTTATTCAATCACCTTAATTTGATATGCGTTTTAATATTATATAAATGATGTAAAGTTTTTAGTGTGTTAGTTAAAACATTATAAGCAAATTGTAATGAAATATTTCATTAATCATTATTATAGAGGGAGTTCACTTCAATCAAAGAACGTTCCATTAGTGAATGTGAACGAGGGTCAGAGTCAGAGAGCCAGGAGTGAAGGCGAAATCGCTCCCCCGCCAAGAAGAAGCCCACGCCATAACCAGGGCGACGATGACGTGGTCCAATCACTGCCACAGTTGGATCAACTGTCCGCTCAACCATGGGACTCAAGGTAGGCACATGCACACTAAGTTGTTTTATTACATATAAATTTAATCTACGAGTTCTATCAAAGTTTTTTTTTGTAATTTATAATCATGTTGCTCAACTACATTTGACTGAAATAAAGCTTTTAACAACGTTTGAAATATAAAATCACATCGTTCATTTGGTAAAATTTTAATTTTAATCAAACTATTAATTCGACTGAAGATTGGGGGCGGAAGCGAGACGTAGACACCTTCAGAGAGAGGCTGATGAGAGAAGCCCGAGAGGTGAGAAGGATGAACATATTGGAAAGAAACCAACTCCTTCGAAAAGAAAGTAGCCTTCAACTATTCCAGCAACTCTCCGCCAATTACTACCTCCGATTTTAAACAATTTTATTTTATCAAACTTTATTAAGCATTTTTTTGCATTATCGTAAAACTTTTAAAAGTTTATTTTAATTACTCGCAAATTTACATAATACAAAATTAATTTGCATTTGATATTTCTGTTTATTTATAAAAATTTATTTAAAATTACTATTAATACAATGAATAGGTTAATAGTTTAATTAACTATAATGGTTTTAAATTCATTTATTCACACAAGTTATTTTATAGTTTTATGGTATTACTTTTATTTTAACCCTCAATGGGTCCTTGCTAAAAGGTTACGTTCCCGGACCTTGGGGTGCAATTTGCACCCCAGTCAATTTTTGTAAGTAAAACAATTGTAACAAGCTCAATTTTTTCTAATAAAGATAAAATACGTTTTATAACTAAATATGCATATTATATTCTCTCAAACAATCAACTAAAAAAAATGTTAGTAGGGAGAGACTTCCACAAATTTCATATAAGTAAAATTTTAACTATATTGTCATTTTAAATTGTTAAAAATCAAATGCAAATGATGTTCTTTTTTTCAAATTTAAGTAATAAACAATTTACAAGATTGTTATGAACAACTTTCACAAAGTATTTTTGAAATGTTTATAGAATGTGCAGGACAAGCGGGCCTGGAACACACCTCGCAGAACATACGAGTTTTTCTGTCACACACGCGCGGGCACAGATGACAACGTCTTGTGTCCTCTTTTCTTTAGTTGGTATCTTGATTCTTCTTTCTCCAAGGTCCAACTCTAGAAGTTGGATTGCATTCATGATTGACTTTCTGAGCCGAACGGAATTGTCCAAATGTTTCCTAATTAGTGGCTCAACAAGAGACTCTCCTAGACTTATGATAAATTGGCGACGACGTATAGCTTTAGAAGATTTATTCCAGTCAGGGTTGTTGCACATCTAAATCACAAAACTAGCAACGGCAGCTAAGTCAAGCATATTAAAAAATAAAACGTTCCAGTCAAACTCTTTCCAGCGCTTTTGTTTATCTGGATAAATAGAGTTCCATTTTGCATTGCATCGTTCTGCTTCTCTGTTTGTTTTTCTAATGACTACAGACTGAATCTCTTGAGATAAAAACAATTGAAACACTTCTTTTATTGAATTTTTACGTCTATCGAAAGTGTCGCCGGGTTGTTGCCGATTATGTCCTGAACTTGCCGTCGGTGTTCGGTAATCCAATGTCTGCTTGTTCTATCCACAAATGTACTAAAACTAACAACAGACTGACCTACAGCTGTTGGTTGTGCTGAATCGGATCTACCGTGTGTGTCCCCTCCACGACATAATCTGCCTCTACCTCCTCTTTCTCCACTTGCAGTACCTTTACCTCTTTTAGTCACTGTTGTAGAAGGTTGATTTACCGGCTCTTCATCAGATGTAATGGCATCTTCCTAATCATCAGATTCCTCAGACATATGATCTTCAGTATTGGAATCAGCATCTGATCCTGGCAAATAATCTTCATCTTCACTACAGGCATCATCTTCGGTAACATTGCCTTCATCACTTTCTGTATCTTCCTGCATAATCAGTCTAAGAGCTTCAGCTGTTGAATAACTAGCCATGTCACCTAGTGTTAGATGAAATGCAAATAAAACAAAATGACTGACATTCAAAAAAAGGTGCAACTGATAGCCAAATGTTATTAAAATATTATTTCATGAAAATTAACAAAATTTCTTAGCAATAATAATTGTTTTTGTTATTATATTGAAATATTAAGTAAGGTTTGTTAGGGGTGAAAAATGCACCCCCAATAAAAATATTTCGGTAAAAATCAGCGCAAATTTTTTTTTCATAATTTAAGGCATGAGATGATAGAAAAATGGTATCTTAACAATGTCCTAGAGCATGATTGCTGTAGTTTAATTAATAAAAATGTAGTAACCATGGAAATTACCTTGGTGTGCAGATTGAAGGCAGTTTCAATGAAATTTTCAAATGTTTTAATTATTACATTTGTATTTTTTCTCTTGTTAGCATTTATCCGTTGAAACATCAATAAATCACAAAGATACCATTCCTCTAAATTGTTTTCATTACGAACCAATTTTAAATGATTCTTAGCTATCTTAAAGTTATACGTTTTCGCTTTTGGCTTTTTGATTCAACAAAACTCTTGTGTGCTTCCGAACTTCATAATAATTTATAAACTTATTACAAAGCATTCTGAGTGTAAATAAATTAGAAGGGGCTCTCTCCTATATAATAGAATTGTAAAGATTTGAAATTATACCCAAGCAACCATGGATATCATGCAAGCGACCGCATGGTTGATTTGATTTGGTTGGCTATTCCATTTAAGCAACCCTTCAATTTTAAGTTAAATAAAAGATGGCAACGATAACTTGGAAAAACTTCTATGTAATTTACAACAGTACGTAGTAAATTTCTTTGGTAATAATGGTTGTATAACGAAAGATTTCCATTATAGATAGATGTTACGACGATGTTCAGCCGACACGACTTTTCAGGTTTGCCTTGCGGTTGGGCTTGTCTAATTGTGCTGTGTGTTATTCCGGTTATTCCGGTAATAAAAATTTTCAAGATGGAACACGTAACGTTGGCCGATTTCAGAGATTTCACCAGTCATATTTCACGCAACAAACTAAGTGGTTGCATCAACCAGGAAATACAAAATAATTGGATATTAGTTAACAGGACAACCGTATATGACGCTACGATTCGATTAACGCCGAATCTTCAGCTCTATGATTTTGCTCGGGAATTTGATTTTTTATGTGAAGAGAATTATGGGACTGACGTTATACGAATATACCACGACTACGTGAGTCCGAATATTTTATCCAGTTTAGGAGATTTTAGTTTGGAAGCTGAAAAACTTATCAATGTAAATACCGTTCATCCTTTGTTTGTCAGTCCTAATTCTCTATGTAAAAATTCTGAAGAAGAAATAATTATAGCAGATACTGTAATTAATGCAATCAAAATTTTTGATTTTTTTGGAAACCTTATAAAGATAGTTGATGGATACCGCTATAAAAAGAAACTGAGGGCTCCTGACTGTATGTACTTGTGCCCGCAGACAAAACGTCTGATCGTTGTCGAAAGACCTTCTCACAGATCTGAGCAAAGTGATTTCATACTTCCCCTACGAAGCAACTCATCCGCAAGATGTATGCATGGATTACAACAGCCAAATTATTTTCCTGGATTTGAGACCTAAAATAGTTTACATATACAATCAAATTGGAGTGTTATTAAATGCGTTCTACTGCCCAGATGTTCTCTACCCATGCAATATTGCCGTCAATAAGTACCAGGAAATCTTCATCTGTGATAATAGGAAACATTGTGTAGAGGTAGGACTCGTTTTTAGCCTTACTAAAAAACTTTATTGTAACTACAAAATTATTTTTAGAACTGGTTGTAAAATTCATTGCATTTCATCTTACATTTCCGGTGTTCAATTACTAAGGATACAAACTACGAACAATAGGCGGACAAGGGATAACAAATTTTCCAATCTTTGTAAAAATAGGAAAAAACGACGAAGTGATTGTTGGTAATAATTTTATGACAATAACAATCTTCAATCGAATGGGTGACGAATTACTGGTTGTATTGCAATCAAGGAGGGGAGTTGAGAAGTGTCTCGATGTTACTGTGACATTCAGTGGATTGGCAGTAGTCACTACTAGTGATCATGATTTGGTTTTCATGAAATTTCCGTTAAAGTAGATAATGAAGATTCATTTAATGATATAATTGTTCAAAGTGAACAATTCGAAAGCAGCAAAAAAATGATATTTAAAAAACAGTGATTCTAAGTTTTCAACTGAAAGTGAGAGCATGGAAATTGTGAGTTTTTCTCTTGGTTTGTCGAGACGCAAATTGGTCAATTGGAAAAGAGTGGGGAAATTATATTTGAGCAGATTGAACAGGATGTTAAAGAGCCAGCCAGTTGCCCATCGCACATTCGCAATATAAGGGACAACGACGGCAGTCTTAAAACAGGGAAAAGAATATTTGGAGCAACTTTATTTCAGTGCGTTTGCAACATTTGGGGACCTGACATGTAAAATCAATTTTTGAAATATTTGGATCAACGGTTTTTTTATGTTAACTAATTTTCTTCGGAATATCTGCTTGCTGTTCATTAATAGATTTTGAACCTGTGAACATTTAACATTTATTTCTTTTGTAATAAAAGTTTTTAACTGCAATCAGACTCTTCTCAATCCGAAACAAAATCAAAAAATACACGAATAATTAATAAATGTTTTAAGTTAATAATGCGAGATGGTGGTTTTGCAGATTAAAGGGAAATAATGAAAATAATTTTTGAAAATTATTTCAATGCAAAGTATAAATCTGGAAAAAAATTATTATTTAAATGTTTGCTAATTGAAATCAATAAAAATGAGTTCTTAAATTAATTACTCTAGCCATATTGGAGCTCTGACATTCTAGCTTCACATTCTTTGCCAATCTTACGCAGTGTGTGGGAAAGTGTATGTGGATTCATTGCGCGTATTCACATGCACTTACCCTGTTGTTGATACCTATTTATATCTGACAATTAGTCAAAAAAGTATTAACATCATATAATCTGTGTGTGTGTGTGTGTGTGCTAAGTTAAAATAAATGAGAGAGAAAGTAAAATCATTTTTTTAAATAGTGTTTAAAAATTGGACGAATATTTCAATTTTTTATACATAAGCCAATATGAGACAAATAAACCCAAGTTGTGTGTATTTGTAATTATGATTTTTGCACTTGTATTGCGCTCAATGGTGCTCGATAACAGGTCAGTATTAATAACGCAACAACACAAACAACAAATTCAGCTGTAAATAAACATTGTGTATTCAACTGTGTTAACAAATGTCTTATTTGATATTTGTACACCGGCAAGGTGTGTTATTGTGCTTGCCAGTTATTCAGCCTGCTCCATATTTCCTTTTGGGCTGAACGTTCAACGTTAATTTTACCGAGATTTTAATTAATTTGAATTAATCATTTTTACTCTTAACTAGGCAATTTATAGTGTAAAACTTATTTACGTATCTTGTAGATTCTATATTTAAAATTATTTAAATTTCTTTATTGAGATAAATTTGCTCAGAAAATTTATAAGCGAATTTAATCGGCAAATTTTGTAATTGTTTTTATTTCGAGCAATAATTTTTATTATTTGAAGAACTCGTTTTAAAAAACATCGAAAAGGTACAAATGTTATTTTTCTTGAGCAGAAGGAAAAATAATTCACTGACAGCAAAACATGTGTTTGTGGATTCAGCCATTCATAACGTACGGTCTTCTTGGTTGGTACACACACACTAAGCTGAAATAAAATTTAGTTAATCGACAGCAGCGTTACTCCAAGAAGCTTTTACAAAAAAGCTTTGGCCTATTTTGTGATGTCAGTGCGATTTATCTTGCTGTAACACTGAAAATATTTTACTGACACACACTAAACCGAAAAATTAAGACTTGAATTTAATAGTGATTACTAACTTTTTGAAATTTAGCTACCCCTTATAAAAAATTTTTAACATAAAATTATTTAATTTTATTCAAAAAGTACTGTTACTGGTACTTGTTATTTTTGGAATCTGTCTGTTATTTATGATAATTAATCACTGGTTAGTAGATACTTATTGAAATAAAACATACAATTTTTATTTGATGCAAATTAATTAGTATCTGCAGTATGGGTAGTTATACTGACCGGAACACAGCGAATGTTAGACGACGCGCAGCTGGTCCAACACTGCCTCTAACATATTCTCAACCACAGCCACCTACAACATATTCTCAACCACAGCCACCTCCAACATATTCTCAATCAGAGTTGAACACTGCACAAATTAACAGGTTTACCGCGTGTTTCAGCGAAAAACATTTTTGCCATAATTACATTTACATGAAAATTTACTGAAATTTGTGTTAGATGGGATAGATTAGAAGGCAGACTAAGCCTGAATACTGTGAGAAGGACGCCTCTCAGTCAAAGAGCGAGGAGTGAGGGTGAATTAGATTTTGCTCCTGCAAGAAATCCAGCGGCGGAACCTGCGCGAAATTCTATGCACTCACTTTTCAGTCCTACAATTGGCAGGTTTGTCTCTACAAATATTTAAGAGGATTTTGTTAATATTGTTTTAAAATAAAATTTGATTGAAAATAACAACAAACACACAGACATAAAATTACACGCCAGTCATAAACAAATAAATGCAGAAGCACATTTGTTACTCAAATAATTTCAAATCATTGATAGATATCGAACAACTGGAGTGAGGAACGAGCAGCAGGAAACGGTCTCTGGAGAAAGAAACGATCTTCGGGGCCTGCCTGGATATTTCCCACCTCCATCCTACTATGATTCTAGTTACATTATCCCTTTACGCAACTATCCGGATGACGACAACTCGCACATGAGACCTTCGAGTAGACGTCTTCGATTTCGGAAGTGGTGCTTAGCATGGTATCGAAGACATAAATACATACTTTTCCTAACGATTGCGTTCGTTGTTGATTTTATTGTTGTTATCCCCTTAGGTATTTATGCAATAGACCGTTACTATAACTTTATAGAAAAAAAAACAAAATGACGAATTTTTTTTATGGCCCTGAGAATGTTAAAAATTGATATGTTTCTAATGAACGAAAGGAACTTCTATGACGAACAAAAATTTTAAAGGTTAAAAGAAATATCCAATTAGAGATACTGAGATAAATTGTATAAGTATTTTTTTTTAATTTATTGATATCTCTACAGTCATCCTTAACGCGAGTAAATGGTTTTCTTTAGAGAAGCATACGCATACTTCACACATTATTTTTCCATCAAATTTATCGAGAGGTATTGTTTTTTGAAATGCTTGAACATTTATAAAAACATTTTACTTGATTAAAATTGACAACGTTTTAGAGTTTTTAAAAAAGGAAACTTTATGAAACCTTGATTGATTTGTTAAACAATTTTCAAACCAATACAAAGTATTGCAAAACAGAAGTTTCAAAAAGTTGTCAGAGTGATGGAGATTTCTTAGCGAAGAATTTCCATCAATTTTTGAGTCAAAATTAAAAATACAGGCTTTAAAGACAAAGCGATACGCTTCAAATAAATGTTTTTTTGCTACTAAAATAATAATTAATAAAAAAAATTCTTTTAGTGAAAGACTAGACCAAGGCTATTTGTGTGAATAAGTATTATTTAAATCAATAGTACTAAACAAATATATATATATATATATATATATATATATATATATAAAATTTCATATAAACTCCATGGTCACATAAATTACAAATTTTTTTTATTTTGACCATGTACATTGAGATTTAAAAGTGAAACATGGATCGGAGTTTACATCGTGTATGTGTATGCATGAGTCTGAAATTGAACACGTTTAAAAGCGAAACTGAGCGATTAATTTATTAATTTAAAATAAACTAATTAACTTAAATTAATTAATTAATTTAATTAAGCGAGGGTGATGGCTTCATCTACGAACGTAACACATTTCGTTGAAAAATACTCAGGTTTTTATATTATTTTATTAATTTTTTTAAAAAATACTTTCTTAAATAAAATAATAAATAAATCAACTTTTTAAATTTTAACTTTATTTTATATAAATATATATTTTTTTTATTTTTAATAAAAATTTATAAGGTAATCTCGGAGAGATCTCGCAAAGTGGTTTTTCCAGCACTATTTATTTATAGTCAACAGTTTATTTAATAAACTGTTGACTATAAATAATAAATTTTTTATATATTTAATAAACTTTATTAAAATGACTCATAAGTTCCTCCCACGGTACAACTAAAAACTAAATAATAAAAGCTTATAATAAAAGTTTGACTAGAAAAACCACAAAACCTCAATAAAGTTATAAAAATATGATACATTACAAAATGTGTAACAAAATTTTAAATGTATCTGTTAAAAATATAGTTTCACTTTTAAAACAAATCGCGTCTGCTCTTGTTGCGTCTAAACAAAAAAATGAATTACCCTGTTTTGCATGGCATTTCGTCTTTCCAATTAATGGATAGAATTCGTGATACAAACGATACAATCAATTGGGCAATGCAACACGGGTTGCTTGCGTCACGCATGACTTGCGTTTGTGGTCGTGTAATGAAATTACAAGACCATAAAGCCTGCGATGATAAAATTTGCATGAATAATTAATTTTTAGAAACTTGCTTCCAGAGGTAACTTGCCGTTGAAAAAAATTTTCAATGTTAAAATGCTGGTAGGGCGCTTCCAGTTATATAATTCCATGATTTTTACTTCATAATCGGCGGATAGATCTATTTAGTTTTAGAAATTGAACTATAACATTATATTGTATGAATTATTCTTTTCTTCGTTGAACGTTTTTCATTCATGTTTTTCAATTTTAAAGTCATTAACATTTAAAAATTAAAATTCTTTAAAAAACCGCTTATTTTTAAAAATTTTTACTTCATAACCGGTGGGTAGATCTATTTAGTTTTTGTACTCAACGGGTACAAAGCATAAAATTCAGGTTATATTTTGATTTGAAATCGTTTAAGGGTAAATTGCATTGTCAAGCGTTTTACGTTTTATTTATTTTTTTTTAAATTCAATAACATTTTAAAAATAATTACTCAAAAAGCAGTTCTCCTTTTTTTAGTATTTCGGTTGTTTACATTATACTGTCGCTAACCAACGAACATGCAGGCTGTATTTAGTTTATTAGTTGCACCGTGGGTGGAGCTCATGAGTCTCTTTAAACTGTTGACTATAAATAAATATTTCTGGAAAAACCACTTTGCCATCTCCGAGATTACCAATTTATAATGTCATTTTATATTACATGCATTGATTTTTTTTTAAAGTATTAATTGTTAATTATTAATTAATATTAATTAAATTAAATGATCTTCAATTAAATTATTAAGGTGAAAATGATCTATGGCTGGTTTCATGTGTGGATTTGCATGAACTGTTCACAACTCTGATTGATGAATTCATCCTCAATGGTGATTGCCAGGAGAAGACAAGAATGAATGCAGTTTCTGTTTGCAAACATGTTGCTATTGGCAGTTGGCTGAAAGTATTTATTTTTATAAGAGATTTTATTATCTTTGGCCTTATTCTATTCTATATTTCTATTTCATTTAAAAAAAATAATTTTATCATTTGATAGTAGTTGATTTGTTTTTATGTTAAATTTTATATTAAAATTTATGAATTTATTATTACAAATCATGAGTAGTATTATTTATGAGTATTATAGATTAGAGTTGAAAGAGTAAACGTTTAACCCTGCTCTTCTTTTTGGAATTTAAATTTTTAATTCTTTATAATTAAAAATTAATTATTAGCAGGTTGATTAAATCTGCTACAACATTACTTAATAATTGAAGACAAATTAGTAATTGATATTGCTTGTTAAACCACATATCTTCGCTCTGAAATCAGAAAAATCCAGAAAAATTTGAGATTATTGAAACGGTTTCATTTATTTTTTCACCAAATTAGCCAAATCAGATCTCAGAGGATGGTACTTGTAAGAACATCTTTGTGGAGATGTTAATGAACAAAGTACTTTTTAACAAAAATGCCTCAGAGGAAAGTTTACTCTATGTTAGTTTTGCCAATTCCAGGCATCAATATGATCATATAACCTTTGTGATGATTTATTCCAGGCTATAGATATTTTGAAATGCACATACGAAAAGAAGACAGGCGAACCCTGGATTTGTTACGCATTTATAGATTATTTCAATGATCAGATCAAAACTGACATCCCAGGTGTTAACAGTTATGCAGTAGACGCCTTAACAGTGTTACTCCAATAGTAAAAAATTTTTTTTTAATATTAAATTTTTTTTATAATTTTTTTAAAAGATGATATTTATTATAACAAAATATATTATAATTTTAATTTTATTTGGATTGATTCTATTATTCTTGCTACACTTACGTGTAAATTTGATTAATTAGTTTGTCGAGACAAACTTTTCTTATAACCATTTTTTCTTTAAAACTTAGTGCTTATGAGGATGATAAGATGAGCGAAAAAGGCATGGAGGCCATTGAAGTTCTTTATGGATTTGGTTTAGTCTTGCTCGAAGTTAGTTTCATTATGAATTTAATAATAAAATTAAAAAATTTATTTTGAAAAAAAATTATTCTGTTTCATCATCCAGTTACAGTTTTACGAAAGTTTTTTTTTACAAACATGTTTGGTTAATTTTTTAAATCATTAATATGCAATTGCATAATTTGGGTAACTGCATCATAATGGTGAATTAATTGATGAAACAATTGTAGCCGTTGTTAACGATTGGTCAGTTGCAAACGTCATGGCAGCTGGCCCGTTCAGTCATATCACTCTACACTGCTCTGACTCCAGTGGTTTGTTTGTTTGCTGGTTTTTATGTGTAATTTGTTTACTTTTAAATATAAATAGATATTAATAATAAATATAGTACATCAAGAAATAAATCTTTTGCACTCAAGAATTTTTAAAATTGAGTTGGTTTTTTTTTTCTTTTCCATTGTTTTTTTTCCACCCAGAATTTTTCAGATTATTTTGATGAGATATTTGTCCAGATCTTCCAGTACACAGGCGTATACTTCAGAGGAAGTTCTACAGACGTTAGTTATCTTATCCATCAACTATTATTTATTAATTTCGTATTACATATGGATGGCAAAAAAGCGGGCCGTGTCCAGACTGGGTTTCTTGAAAAAAAGATAATGCTACTGACCTCTATGGTCTTTTGACTATGGGGAGCATTAAATGGATGGATCTATCTAGTATTACTCCATACAGTAATGCTAACCATAATGCTATCAATTACTTTACTACTATGCTATTATATGTTACGTATGCTGTCATGTGTTACATTATGTTGTTACATATGTTGATGTGCTGCTATAATGTTATTTACGTTAGTGGTATAAATTTCAGAAAGATGAACTAGCAGTGAAACTGGAAATTTTAAAACTCTGGAAGCCCTTGTCTTTAAAACTTTGTTTCCATGACCTCACAAATTTGCATTCAATGTTCAAAATGGCTGTTGAGTGTGCCGGCGGGCTGCCATGCCATGGTGGAGTTTTTGATCAGGTGTGAAGTGGAGTGCTTGTTCATCAGTGTTGTCGTATGATTGTTGTTTTGTTCGGTTGTGTTGCGTTGTTGTTTATTATATTCATTGAAAAATATGTTGTTTTATCATTTTTTATATTCAGTAAATAAATTGATGTTCAATTTTTCATTTTTACATTTATTTATACACATCTCAATCTCTTCATCAACTGTTCACTTAAATAAATTAATCAAACTAATAGTTAATGGTTATTATCAATAATCTGTCTCTAGGAAATTCTAACTCATATTTATTAACTATGTAATTTTTTTTCAACAAACGACTAAACCCGTGTAACAAATACAGATGTACAAAGCAATAACTGAACTGGTCCACGAGATTTTCTTGATGTCTTGGGAGAAGATGAAAGTAGATGAAGAGATGTTCTTGAAAACATTTGAAGTGCTACTGAAGGGATTGGGAGGTTCGTGGTAGTAGTAGATGCTGGCTCATATATAATTCATTATCATAATTTTTTTTCATTATTAGGTTGTTTTTTTTTATGGTTAATTATTGAAAAAAAGTTTTATAGAGAAAATTTGTTTTTTATGGTTAATTATTTAAAATAATTTTTTAGATATAATTTATTATTTTAGTGGATAAATTTTGGAAAAAATTGACCAGAAATGTTGTCGTTATTCAAGGTTTGGAAATCGAATACACAATTGACACCTCACTGAACTATGCCTACCAAATGCTTGATGATAATTATTTCGAGCGTGAGTCGGATTTTGTTTTTTAAATTTATTTCGATTGTAGTTTTCGTTTTGATATATTTTCGTCAAGACATGCCTGAAAAACAGCTTACAACTCTAAAATACTTTTATATCTATTTCATATATAATCTTTTCGAAATGAAATATTCTATGGCGGCCAAGAATAGTCCTGTATTTCACAATAAAAGAAATGCAATTGCCGAGATTAACCTTTCTATTTTAATATCTTACATTAAGGTTAATTTATCCCTCAATCTGGTTACTATTTGTCTAGGTCGATAATAATAATCATTGATCTTTCTTTGTGCAGTTTTGACGTGTTAAAAATGTTTGTGTCATAATTTTCTGGCAGCAGTTAAGAACTTTTCGAGAGTCTCAAATATTAAACTGAACTCGATGTAACATTTGAAAATCATTTTCTCAATAAAATCGCAGTGATTAAAAAGTTTTCAACCTCCATGCGAATGAATGCGTTTCTCTGTTGGGTGTCGAACTTGTACAACTTGCGAGAGAGTATCTCCGAAACGGCAGCGCACGTATTCAACGATCACATCAATCATCATTGCAAGGTTCTTACTGCTGCTGTACATCGATGTAATTTTTAGAAATGTATATGACGATTGAACTTCATTTCCGTTAGATGCTAACAGAAGGATCGCTGGCCGAACAGCATTTAATGTGGAACTTTATAAGGAGCATGCATCTCGATGCTGGCTCGGAAGTCTACGAATGGGTGGGTGGGTGTCTGATTGGATGGCTGGTTTGTTGACTGTTTGACCAATTGGCTGGTTGGCTGGTCGGTTGGTCGGTCGGTTGATAGACTGGTTGGATGGTTGGTTGTTGGTTGGTCGTTTGATTGGCAGCTTGGTTGATAGGTTGATTGGCTGGCTATTTGAATTATTTATTTCATGTTTTAATAGAAACAATAACGCATTAAAACCTCTTATTTAAGAGAAATGATAAAGTGAAACTTGACTGGGACATGGAAGACCTGTACCTCAAGGCTCACGATATTATTAAAAAGCGTTAGTCACAATCTTTCTCTCTTTTTCTCTCTCTCTTCCTCTCTCTTTCTCTTTTTCTCTCTCTTCTCTGTTTTGTCATAATCAAGTTTGAGTGCAAAGGATAATTTGAACAAAAATCGTAATATGTGCGAATAATCTAATAATATAATAATATAAATCTGCACCTGTCGGAATCTAGTCAGTCACATGTTGACGATCATCATGAATCATTAAGAAAAGAAATTTAAATAATTTATTCGTTGATTATTTTGAATAGTTGGAAAAAATTAAAAGGCACCAAATAACAAAAGAATTGAAATTCATCCATGAAATTTAAGCTGTATTTTTTAGATGTTTTTAATAAAATCAAAACAAAAATTTATTTCAACTGAATAATTGAATAATTTGAAATCTTGACATAGCAATGGAGCACCATCCCGTCATCGTGTGTGACGCCTTGGCCTTTATAAATTGGTTCAAGAAACATTTTGTTAGTTCTGGTTCTGTACTATATATTTTTTGTCGTTCGTACTAAATAGTTAATCTCTGCGTTTGCTTGCTTGTTTGCTTGCTTGTTTGTTTAGTTGAGTCTCATTCTACTATTACACGTTGATAATTTTTTTTCTTTATTGACTCTACACATATAGAATGACGTTTACACCATTTACATTCCGTCACGTGACTCACACCGTAATAATCTTCCGTCACGTGACTCACGCAGTCTGTCGATCAGCTGATTTCCTGTCTGGATCCGTTGATAGATTTGTTATCGCGTTGTAACTCTCTCCATCGATGCTTCCATGACGGCAGCTCCAAGATGCGAGGTCGTTGTCATCATCTGTCCGTCGTCACAGCCGCCGCATTCGTTCTCAAGGAGGTTCTTGGTCAGAAGTATGAAGGGAATGATGAACCCATGTTAGTTGCTGTCGTTGGCTGATGGTTGTTGTTGTTGTTGTTAGTGGTGGGAAGTTGTTTGTGGTTGATGTTTGTGTTGTTGTTGTTGTTGGCTCTTGATGCTGTGGCTGTGGATGGTGTTGGTGTTGTGTTGCAGATGGTGGTATTGATGTTAGCTGCTATCGCTGATGTTGGGTTAGCTTTGGTGGAATAATTGAATGATTTCATTAATTAATTAATCAATTAATGATTTAATTGTCTAGGACTTCAATCGATTTTGTTACTTTTTTCAAGTGTATGGTGTCTGACCTCGTCCTACCTCGGGGGAACTGGGTCTCTGGACACTAAACGAAGATTGATTGATTGATTGTATGTTATCTGATTACAATTACAATTCTTTATTAAGTACCCAAATCTTTGATATCATCATTGCTCTAGAATTCCTCTGGAATGTTTAAAATCAAGATTGGACACACTCTGTGACCATGTCTGCCAATCATTATCTATACTGCCTGGAAACGCTAACAATGACTACATGTTAGGAGGTAAGCATGTGTGTATGCGTGTGTGTGTGATATAGATTATGGCAAAGGTTACTGAAAAAAGAAGGTTACTGAGGTTGCTGAAAAAAGCTTTTATGTAAATATATATAAGAGTTATGTAAATGTATTAAATAAATTTTAAAAATTATTATGATTAATTAATTTTTGCTTATTAATTAATTAATAAGTTCTTGAGGTAACATTTGCAAACTTGCAATGCGAAGAATTGCTGCAAAACACAAGGCTGACCACATTCTTGGCTGGTCAGATTGTTGAAAGCTTTGATGTAAGTGTCTGCCATGCATTCTTCTTGTTACACTGATTTCATTTTCCATTGTTATTTCAAAAAACATTCTCTAATAAATATTTTCACCATCCTTCATTCATGGATTCATCTTTTTATTCATCTCTCCATTTTTTTGTTCTTTCTATCACTACATTTATTGATCCATTTAGCCAACAATCCATCCATCTAATCATCCATCTTCAACATGCAGTCGGCAGATTATTCTAGAAAATACATACAGACGTTGTACGAATGCATTGGACAGCTATGCATCATCAGTGTAAACGACTATGATCAGCCGCTTGTTGCTAAGTTTGAGGAGGTCTTCTTGCCTGCCTTCCAGAAAGTTCTGCTTCACAGAGAGCACAGATGTAAGATGATTCACTTTTTTCTTCGTTTTTTTTTTCGTTAGATAGCACAACATCATTGTGAATTCTAGCAACTCTTCCACGCTGTTAACAACAGCCTTGTCACTGACATCAGTTTCATAATTAAATCAGCACTATCTACATCGTTTACAGATCCAACAGTGTTAATCACAGGCATATTACTGGAGATTCTCATTCCCCATCACCTCAAAACATCCAACAGCAACAACAGCTGCAAACCAGCCATCCCTTCAAAATATGACGAACTTATCACATCCATCTTATCTTCAGCTCTCTGGTTGAATAATGATTGTGTATCTAGTTTAATGTCGTTTGTCTTGGCGTTTTTCTTAAAGAACAAACATCTTCTGCTGGGAGGTGATATATCACATGGCTATCTGCAGGCCTTGGAAGCAATTGCCGACAAGTATGTACCATTATGTTGTTGTTTTTTGGTTGTTTATCAAAGTCCTGATGTTGCAGAGGCTGAGTTTGAATGGAAAGACATCCCCACGTATCATACGCAATGTATGTTATGCGTGGTGGGTTCATGCCCATGCCCATGTGCTGTCTGTTTGTCGTTGATACCATTTTTAAGAGAGAATTAGTTTAAAACAGTAATTATTTAACGGTGAATACTATTTAAAAAAAATTTCGCATATGAAGTAGAATGAATGGTATAACAGCTGTCTAATTATTAACACGTCGAAACACAGATTTCAATGTACAATTCTGAATGCCTACCGCAGCGTACAGGTCTACATGGTGCTGAAGGAGATCACCAGGTTCTTATTCATACCATTACAGGCTCCCTCGTTCCTAAATCTTATTTTACCTTTTTCGTCTTTAAAGTTATTTTTATTCTATAAAAATTCAAATGTACACACGAGCGCCTATATTTGTACATTGCTCTAAAACATACTTTTTTTAGTTACATAAAAAAAATGTTTAATCATTAAAAATTTGAAATTTCTACAGACCACCTCTTCGAAAATCTATAGAGACGCTAGAAAAACTACTGCAGACAATCAGCCTTAACAAGAATCAGAAGTTATTATTAGGTGAATGTTGTCTTAACGTCTTTGTTATAGTATTTATCTATCTCTAAATCATTTCGCCCAAAAATTGATTTTATTCATATCATTATCGATGAATGATGATTGTGACGGTTTGATTATCAATATATGATGACGTCACTTGAAATATTTACGGAACGTTTCATTGTTGCAAGGTGTTTCAGTCTATGTGTTTTCATTGGCGGTTGACCATTCAGCTGAACATGTTCTGGAGTGGTTTGCAGAGGATGACTTCCGGTTGCCGACATGCTGTTCTTGTTTTTGAATGAATATTTTTAAAAATTTAAGATAAATAAACAAATAATTATTATTATTCGCCATCTTTTGTAAATGTAGAAGTTAGTTATAGCAACTAATTATATGTTATTCTTTGAACCAGGAGATTTGACGTTGAAATCTTTGAAGGTTTCGTAAGAGCAGCAGTTGTTCATGTCAACTCGGATGATGACCTATCAATCTGTATTGTTGGGCTGACATCCTTTCTTATTTTTTTGGCACCTCAAGTTCTACTAAATTCGTCTAAATTCAAATTATGGTCGGTGTTTGAGATTTTTATACATTATTTTCTTTAAATTACAGTTCTGTTTTCACATATTTTTGTTGAAATTTTTGCAAGGGAGGCAAGATTTACTGGAACTGTTGTAAATTAACATGAAAAACTATTTGTTTATTTTAGACATTTTATTTGTTCACCGTTAGAACTTGTTGTTCATATTTGTTTTCATTTGTTGTTTGGTTTTTTTTTTTCATTTTCATTTCTAACTATCTTTTATTTATTTTATTTGTTTCTGTTAAATATATATATATATATATATATATATATATATATATATATATATGTATAAATGGTGTATATATATTTTGTTTAAATCTTAACAAAGGGCAAGGATGCTGTTCAGTCTGGCCGATCTCTGTTCAGCCCAACAGAACTCATACATGCCCCCTTGTAAGGAATATGATGTTAATTTGGTATCGTTTTAATTATCGACGTTTGCTTTAGTAGCAGTAGTTGAAATTGTGTCGGTGGTGCCGTGTGAATGTCACTTCAGTGTGAAAGTTACAAATGCATGTAGTATTTCATTTGGTAGTTGGGACAAAATGTTAATGCAAACAGTCCGCAGATTGGAGTGGGATTCGCTTAGGTGTACGTGCTTCTACTCGAGGAAACAAGGTGAAGGTGAAACTGGCGGTGAGAATGAAGTGCTCTACAAGCCAAGATTTCCAAATTTTTGCTACAAACGTCACATCGAAGATAATCTCAGACCTGTTCTTATAAATAACCCTCAGCTGGTTAGTTATATTTTTGTTATTATTTTGTCACCTCTGTTATAGTTCGTTTTCTAATTTAGAAAAATATATTTGAGCAATTTTTGAAAGTCATTTTTTATGTTTTAGTTGTCCAGTCCATTGTTAAATGATGGAGAAGATGTTAGTGATCAATCGAAAAAGAATCTTCTTAAATTAGTGAAGAAGTTGAAGTTGTCTGACGCTGGCGCTCTTTCCGACTTGCTACATCTGTCAATGGCGGCTCCTTCCTCAAATTCACGAGATGCTGATGACGACCGTTTGTTTAGCGAGGATGGTCAAAGTGATGATGCTAATGAATATTCAGAAGATGATTGATGGCTATTGCTTGATTGTTGGCTGATATTAGTATTTTTCATTTACGATTTTTTCCTTGATTTAAAAGTCTTCGTTCTTTTGTAATCATGAGTTTATTATCGCTTGTTATTTAATATGTAAAAAAAATTGTTATCTAATTATTTATTGTCAGTTGAATTATTTATATTTCTACAGTTTGCTTATTTGATCAGAATTTTTGCATGTTTTATTGAGTTTCATTTTACGATATTATGTTCTATTTGTTTTTTCTTTTTCAAATTTTTAATTTGTTATTATTCGTTGTTTATTTATTTTTCAAGCATATCGTTTTAAATTTTTCATTAAACTTGATTCAAATTAGGTCAACTGCTAATATGGCTTCGAATTCCCGATCTCGAAATCTTGTTTATTTTGTTTTTAAAATCCTTAGTTGATCATATATGCAATCAATTTGTATCACATCAACACATCCATCTTATGAGCGGCACACAATTTCTTGGTGTTTTGCTTCCTGATGTTTCATTCAATTTTGACATTTGAGAGGAGGCCTTGTTATTTTTGCCGTCAAATCTGTTGAATTTTGCAGTATTTTGTCATCTAATCAATTTTATGTATTTATTGTCAATTTGATGAACATTTGTTGTACGTAATTGCAATGATTTTTTATACAGTGTCTAGCGTAAATCATTTGAAAAAAGTTGCCAAATAAATTTAACGAGACAATTGTCATTTGAAACCTAAATTATGCCTGCGAAACGGTTGTTGTCTGAATCAAGATTGATGTTTTAACTATTTAAAGCATTGCGTTGCAAAGTGTTTCTATCATCAATTTCGAATAAATGATTATTTCATATAATTGGCTCAACAATGTTTATTTCTGGACTCTATATTCTGTGACAGCACAAACCTACGTTAAGTTACCAACATTTTAAAAGGTTCCCATTCGCGTCGTAGTACAATTTATAATAAATCAAATTAAAAATTTTTTGTTGGTAAATAAATTAGTTAGCAGATTCCCAAACGGCGATTCCTTATCCCATAAAATTCTAAAATTAGGTTTAACCAAGTCCCGCTCCTATGCTTACCTCTAATTCGGACAAATAGACTTTGAATGTTGGAGACTGTTTTTTTAAGTATAAAACATAAAAATTTCAGCTTAGAATATCGAGATCAATAATGTAATAACATTTTTTATCGGGAAATCGGAGATATTAGATCGCAAATGATCGTCAAGTTTCTTGAGTTCAAAACCAAACTTTTTATTTATTTTAAGCATGATAGAACATTTAAACATGATAGAATAAAAAAGCATTTGTCGGTATTCCTATACCATCTTCGGTGTTCCAATTGATACGTTGTTTATGTATCCATTTTGCGATCTACCGTTAAAAAAAATCTAAAAATTAAACAGGAACCTAACTGAGGCGGAACATGCGGTGTAGCTGATCAGATATGGAGCATTTGTTCTATCTATCTATCCGTCAAACTGAACACGAACCAAAGATCTATCCGAACCATAAAAACACGACTATAAAAATAAGTTTTCTTGTTCAGTTACTTTACAAACGTTATTAAATGCTGTTCTCGTGTGTGTGGTAGTACAATTTATAATAAATAAAAAACAATATTTTGGTAAATAAATCTTATTCTAAATAAAATAGTTTAATGTAATAAAATAATGTTAATGTCATTGTTAGGAAATAAATTTACGACGTCAAGAATCCTGTAAATCGTAACCAAGAGTCGTCGTAAACATGAATGATTTTACAACAATTTTTTACAACGCAATGGAATGTAGTAAAACATAGATACATGTGCAGGTTGTAAATGAATATACCGAAATACATGAATAGTTAAATGAGGTATGGTACAATGAATTTATATCTATGGAGGTTGTAAAATCAGTAAATGAAAGTCGTTTGTATGTATATATATATATATATATATATTGGGGAAGTGAATATTGCTTAAAATATATCTAAGTCTACTCATAATATTCCGATTGGATATATAATATATTTAGCATATATATTGGCATATTAAAGCATATATTGAAGCATATACTAAATTGCATTGTGGCCAAATAATCAAAATTTTGCAAAGTTGTGAAAAAGTTGAGAATGAAAAAGAATACGGACGATGTAGTGAGTAAAGTTGGTTCAACAGGAGAGCGAATGATACTAATTTCAAAATCAGGAGGACGTCATCCGGTTGACAGAAACATGCTTCTTCGAACCAGTGAATATTTCCAAGGTTTGGTGAACAGTGGAATGAGAGATGCCCGTTATAGAGAGCTTACGCTCGAATGTTTAACGAATGAATCCTTATTAGCAGTAAGGGATTATTTATCCAGGTTGTCAACCAACGAGATGGAAAGCAGAGGTACTTCAAGCCTGAAGTCGTTAAACGAAGTAGAAGCAGGGTTGGATGGTGCCTTTTATCTACAAATCAATGATATGATTGATAGATACATTGAGATGTTATTGAAACATTTGAACGAGTCAACTTGTATTCGTATTTTGGACATTGCCAACAAATACCTTCTAATTGACCAAGTGGTCAAAAAAGTTATTGAATACGTTTTGAAAAATTTTAAAAAAATTTCAGACAGTTCAAAAATATCATTATCACCAAACGAAATGTTTCGCTTGGTTGCTTCAGAGGAAATAAATGCAGACAGCGAGATGGATATTTTCAATCTGATAATCAGGTGGGTTTTGGAGGATCAGACGAGGAAATGTTTTGCTGAAAAATTGTTGACCGAAGTGAGGTACAGTCTGATGACAACCTCAGGGAGACAGAAATGTACCGCCATTCTTAATTATATGAATTTAAATATTAGCTGCGATGCAGATAAAGATTCAAATATTTCTCGTACAGTTGGTACGCTCTTTGTGGTTGGATCAACTAAAAGCAAGGTGTGAATTTAATTTTTTATATACAAATATGTTCTCGCTTTGAGATATTTTTAACCGAATCTAATTTTTACTGTTTTTTTTTTATTTCAAAACCAGGATGACAACATCTTTAATATGCTGCCAGTCTATAATTTTGTCGAAGCCTGCAAGGCCAGTAGCAACGGCACTGAGCCACCCGTCAAATTCAAAACAGGAAAACAGGGACCCCCACCATCTTTGCGGGGTTATAACGCTTGTGTGGTAGACAACCTTTTGTATTTGGTCGGAGGAGAACCGTTCACTCGTAATGTTTCCGTGTACAATCCGGTGACAGCAGTCTGGTCTAAGGTTTACAAATTTTAAAATTTTCGTGAACACATTCTTCCTAATTGTAACGTGTAATTGAATGGAATTATTTATACTTTAAGTCTGTACTCCAAACCATTATAAGTAATTCTTTATTTCTTAGTTGTTTACCTTTTTATTATTCTTTAAAAACGTTTTACTGCATTTTCTAACACGTCTTAAAAGCCGTGAAGTATTTTTTTTTGTTTTAATCATCCATTGAAAGCTTTTTTTGTGAATATTTCGATCTTAAGTTAACAATTGATTCAGTTTTATATTTATAATTTTCATCTCATTCAGTGTTGCAGCACGCATCTTGCGAGACGTAATTTTTACCTTGGAGGACTAGGTGTCAATCTATATGCAGTTTCTGGTTACACCAGATACTTCAAGCGAACTCCAACAGTTGAAAAATACATACCGAGTGAAAACCAATGGCACATGGTGGAACCTTTACCTGTTGCTCTAACACGTCTGGCAGGTCTGATTAGTTTACCTTAATTTCTATTTAATATCTTGTGTTGGTGGTATCTATTTCAATTTCAACTGTAAAATTGTTGCTCAAATTTTAGATAATTTTTCAAATACCGTAATTAAAAAACAATAATGATTATAAATGAATTTATACACACCATAATACAACTTAACCTATCCACCCATTAACAGGTTGTGTGTGCAATGGTACGATATATGTCAGTGGCGGGTGTGATGATAGACGAGATGTAAGGAATCTGGTGTACAAGTACGTCCCTTCTTGCAACAAATGGTTCTCGAGGGCTCCCATGTTGACTGCGCGTTGTTCCCACACTATGACATGCACGGAGAAGAAGATTTTTGTTTTTGGAGGTAAAAAGGGATCTATAGAGAATGCAATGGTTAGTTTGCCTCGTTTTTTCCTTGTCACTGTCCAAATATTTTATTATTTATTACTAAGTAATTAATTAACTTTACTGATTAATTTATTTTTTTAATTTTATGAATTCAATCAACAAAGGATGGAGAGATGTATGATGTAGAGAGTGATCAGTGGTCATCTGTGTTGAAGCTGAAGTTGCCTGTTTGTGATTCACCATCCATCGCCATCAACAACTGCCTCTACATCTTTCAGTACGAGATCCTTTCAGACTATACGTGGCGTACAGTTACTCAAAATATTAATCTGACGAAGTTCTTGAAGAAGAATAATACGTCAAGTGATTCAAGTTCATCATCAGTGCAAGGCAGGAATGCTAATAATAATAATCTTGTGACCAATGAAGCAAAGGTACAGAATTCTCCTGATGCTCCCACTAATGATGACTGTCAAGTTTTTAGATACAAACACGCCAACAGCGAAATGCAGTTTTATTGTCATTACGTTGGTGTCATGGCTATGTCGGATATTTGAATGAAGTCACTAAGAGATAATATTGATTCATTTTGCTTTTTTCAATTTTTCATATATTTATAGTCATTTTATAACAACTATTTGTATTAAAGAATTCTCGATCGCCATAATGATTTGAATAAAAATATTGAGAAATGTAATAAAAAACTATTCAACGCTAGAAATTCCGTAGATTTCCTAAATTACTGCATATATATAATATAAATATAATAATAATAAATATATATTTATATATATTATATTTATATATCACTAATTTTTCACGATACTATGTTAGGACAAAGATCGGCTAAAATCAAACTTTTTTTAAACTTTATGACGAACAATAAAATAATGTTAAACACATGCAAGCCAGCAGTATTCTATTTATATGGTATACCCTATCTGTATATCTCATTTTACTCTGAACAAAGTAGTATCATAAAAAGAATGAAGATACTTTTTCAAAAATTAAAAATTTCTCAATTTGTCTTCATTGCGATTTCGATGATGATGACTGTGGTCTGACTAATTAAAAACGTCACACAAAATTTATTAAATAGGATGGGTAATTCGTTGGAGGAAATGCGTCATGTTAAAAGTAGTTATTTTAATGCTTGGTAGTTAATCGGCCGCTATAAAGGTTATATTCAATTCCAATCAAATAAATTTGACCAAATATCATACGCAGGCAGAACTAAATAATATATATATATATATATATATATATATATATATATATATATATATATATATATATATATATATATATATAGTTATAATACATTTATAATGTTGTAATTACACATTCAAATTGTACAATTGTGTTATAGTGTAGTCTCAAATTATTTTGAATTATCTCAGAAAAATTTAATTTTTTTACTATATACTTTACTTTTTAAAACTTTTTAAATTGAATTCATCGCGATATCGATAATGATTTTTTGTGACCTCACTGATTGAAAAGCATCAAAGAAAACTTTTAAAATAGGATGGAGAAGTTGTTTTATTGGTATATTCGTATATAAAGCGAGCAAAATTTTATTATAAAAGCGCTTATAAATCTACGCATATTGGCTCAGCTTTGCTCGGCTCGGCTTGAAATTGGATGATAAGCACGGTGTGGTCTCAAACTATTTTGAATTCTCCCCGAAAAATTTGAACTGCGTGAGTACATCACTGGTTACTGTTGCTTTTATAATGAATTTGCATTATATATATATGTATATGTATATATATATGTATATATGTATATATATATATATATATATATATATTATTAAATAAAAATTTATAAATCGCTTTTTAATAAAATCTCAAAAGCGCCTACAATAAGTGCAAGAAAAAATAAATAAGACAAAAGAAAGAAAGTTGATTGTCACTCAGTTAAATGTCAGAACACACATATATTTAACACAAAATCAATAAATAAATAGATGACCAAAAAGAAGTAATACTAATTCAAATGACGATTTTTAGGATTTATCCACACAATTTACTAGTTATGTACAAAATTCAATGCAATAATCAACTAGCCTCACAACAAATTATTAACCGACACAAGAATTAAAACAACATAATGATAGTACTGACTAATAAAGAACATAAAAAATAAAAAAAAAAACAAAAAAAAAAATTTCATTTTCATAACCACATTTAATTACAAGAACCGAAATGCTACTTAAATAGCAGCAACTTTAATTGTTTACAAAATAGAGGAAATTATATTCCAGGTAGACGGAGTGAGGTTGGCAAATTATTCCACACCATCGGTCCAGCAACAGCAAAATTTCTTTTACCAGTCACCAAACGGGTTTGAGGAACGTCCAGCAAATTCCTATTATTGGATCTCAATCCTGGATAACCAGACGTTGAATCACGTTTAGTCAATCTACCGACCATTTAAAACTTTGAACATCAAAACAGCAATCTTGTAGATAATTCTCTTTTCAATCGGAAGCCAGTGCAGATCTCGTAAATTCCGAATGAATCATCATCAGTGCTCCTTGCTGTATATATAGGGAAATATTGACTTTGTCAAGATGAACTTTGACGTTGTAAAAATTAACTTTGGTGTTGGTTAATGGTTTGGCTTTGGTTAATTTGGTGACTATAGTTCAATACTAGTAAGTCAACCTTCGGCTTCAGTAAACCACCGGATTTCACCTGACCAAAAGCAATTTTTATATTCAAATTAACAAAAATAATTTAATAATACATAATTCTATTAAATAAAATTATAGAATTACTACAATGTTTTAAGCATATTAAGTCAAGTAAATATTTCATATAGCTTGCTCTTTAAAATCCATGCAATTTCGTAAGCCAACAATCCAAGCACGTCAAATAGAAGTGATCGATTAGCACCATGGATATATCCATGATTAACCCTCATTGTTTTATTATTTTATCTACGTAAATAAAACACTGAGCGATATTAAATTTTTGTTGGCTTTCTTAAGTTCAAATTAAAAATTGTAATATCAGACAGTCATGAATATCCGGAATGCTCGGGTTAGTGTGTTAGGGTTAATTATGCAGTGTTATGTATGATGATGGCCTAGTCTAGTTAGTAGAGTAGTGGTTAATAGTTAGTTAAGCTGTTAAGGCCGCCTGCTGCTTTTTTTGCTTCTTATTTAGTTTAGTTTAGTAATTAGTTTAGTTTTTAGTATGTCATTCATTCATGTGTATGATGTTTGTATGTTTGTGCGTTTCTTGATTCCTATGAAGTTCATTATGAAGTCTGAACTGAACCCAGGAAGAACATTTCTTAACTGGGGCCATCATCATCATCATTCATTCAGTTCAGGAGCATGCATGTGTTTTTAATTTTTTATATTCACTATTAGTGACTATTCTATTATAATTATATTATTCTAAAATTTAGAATTTAACTAAATACACTATATATGACTAGTCTATTGCTATTCTATACTATACTGTATAAAATATAATAATATACTTGTGCAAAATTGTAAAATGAAGAAAATAAATTAAAAATTGAACTTTCTAATTAAACTTTTCATAAAAATAATAATATAATTTTATAATAATTAAGTTTAATAATTACTACTACTACTAATAAATAATATATAATAATATAATAAATAATTATATTATTTATTAACTTTTTCAGTTTGATTAAACTTTAATTAAACTGAAATAGTTAATAAATAATATAATCTTATGATAATTAAAAATAATTAAACTGAAATGCTGTTCAGTTAAATTGGTAGATAGAATTATTTGTGGATTTAAATTATTAAATGTTGCAATATAATGTAAATATAAATAAATTTTAGTTTGAGTTTAATGTTTAATTAATTTTATTTTAAATTAATATCTAATATTATAGCCCGAAGACTTGATGAACATGCAACATTGCAATTTGTTATGTCTGCCTGAAAATTATCAGATGAAATACTACTTTTACCATGGCCTATCATGGCCACAAGTAAACTCTCATCATAATTTATCCTTTTTTTTATTAATATTATTTTTAATTAATGGTTTATATAATTATAAGTTAAGTAATCAATTACATATTTTGAATATTGCGTTATCATTTTTAAACAATGTAAGACATAAAATTGAATTTTAATGATTTGTTTGTTTGTTCACGTCAGCTGTCATATGTGGCTGAGGATGATAAGGGGAAAATAGTGGGATATGTTCTTGCTAAAATGTCAGTAATTTTCTGCTTTTCATTTTTGTCACATGTTTTCCCTTTTAACAAGTTTTAATGATCATTTTTTTAATTGATTTTTTCATGGAACTATAAAAATTATTACACTGTTAACAAGATTTCCACTAAGCTTTGTCTTGTTTACTTAACATTTGAGTAATATGTTGATAAATTTACATCAAAGTAATCTCAAATTTATCAGAAACACTACTTTTATTTAGGATTTTCTTTCTAGAAACTTTTCAATTTTTTTCTTTATTCTGATAGATCAACATATGAGGTTGTGGATAACAACTACGTAAAATAGCCATCTGTTTTCTTAGCAGCAGTTGCTTGTTTGAATGATTGTTAAAAATCAGGATGTCAGTGATCATTTTGTGTAAATAAGGATTTGCATTTGTTTTGTACAGGGAGGAGGATCCAGAGGACGTGCCACACGGTCACATCACCTCATTGGTTGGGATACTTTCCAACTTTCATCCGCATTCTTTCAAATATAATCTGATAAATCAAATTCTTAATAAACCTACCATACCTTAATTTTCAAAGTCTATTTTTCAAATTTACTAATCTTTATCTGACCCCACTTGTAATCGGTGAATTGACTGACCATAGGCAGTGAAAAGATCGCACAGAAGACTTGGACTGGCGCAGAAGTTGATGGACCAAGCATCTCGATCCATGGTCGAGTGCTTCAATGCAAAGTATGTCTCACTCCACGTCAGGAAGAGTAACAGAGCTGCCCTCCACCTCTACAAAGTCACTCTTAAATTTCAGTAAGACCATTATTTTCATATTTACAAACACACACTCACACACACACACACACTTTTCTTTCTTGTTTTTACTTTGAGAAACATTAATTATCAAAAATAATGCCATTTAACCACATTTAAGTCTCTAACAATGAATTGTTGCAAACGTGACGAGGTTCTTAAATATTTTAAACTTTCTCGACCAGGATCAGCGAAACGGAGCCAAAGTACTATGCAGATGGTGAAGATGCATATGCCATGAGAAGAGACCTTACTGCTTTCGCCGAAAAGGTTTGCCTTCCTCTCCCATGTCTATTATTTATTTGTTAAATACCTCATTTGAAGATATTATTTCTATTAACAATTGCGTTTTTTTAAAAACGTATCCATTGTTTAATGATAAACTTGAACTGAAATGTATTAAAATAAAGTGTTCGACAAATCCTAACAAAAGTATTAAATAAATTCCACAACAGTACAACCCTGCTGCCGTTACAGCCCCCGCCAAAGAAGACAGCTCCTAATCAAATAATGTCATTTTTTCGTTTAATAGGCCTATTTTTATCGAAATTTTGCATTTTATTTATCAATTTTATTAAAAAGACAAAACACAACCGGACTCAATATTAGTAATCGTTCATGTTATATGTCTACAAAAGTTGATGAATTATTAAATATTAAAGTTTCTAAAACGAAATGAATAAATAAATAGACAGATAAAATGGTTATACATTATTCATTTCGTAGGATATCACAAACATCCTCTAAACAATCGATTATACATATTAGCCTTGTGTGATGGCAGATAAAATACTTGTAAAAATCAATCCAAGAGTTATATAATTGACAAAACCAACTCTTGACAATCATAAATTAAACAAACAGTCGGTGTGCAATGTGCAAGAAATGTTAATTGTATAATTACATACGAGCCCTTCTAAAATAGACCCAGTTAGCTAACAAATTAAGACAATTAAATGCTGCTTAGATATAGACTTACTCATTCATAATTATCCAAAAGTTTATTTGCTATTTGGGTTTAGGTCAGGCATAATAAAATTATATACACACACACGCACACACACGTACATACATACACACTTGAACATTCATTAAATGATGTACGTGCATTTTTTCCCATCAAAATTGCCATAGTTAAGTTGCCGATGAAATATTGTATATAAATAAAGCTAAATAACGAATGAATCTAACACAATACAATGAGCCTGACGTTCTGAAAAAAATTTCATCACACGACAACGCAATTTTGCGTGCATACGTGTACAGCATGGTAAGCATGTGCATGTACGTACGAATCCACATCCAAGATAAATAAAATAGTATATCGAATTATGAAGGGTGAAATTCTTAAACGCAAGTTACACTTGAGAGATGAATAACACGACAATAGATCGAAATAAATTTCAATACATTTTAGTGGCCACCGCAGAGATAAAAATCGTACAATTCACGTGTGCTGCTCATATATCGTTTTAAAAACGTGCTAACATCTGTTAAATAAACAAAAACAGCATCTGTTTAATGTGGCAGACACACGCGCGCGCGCACACATACACACACGCACACACACACACTTGACGTACCGGTACGTATGAAGCAACAGAAGGGGAAATGTTTGATGTTTGGATGGTTAAAATTAGTAGGAATAAGGAGTGTGAATGAAATTATGACATCGCTTTAGTGATCGTTCTTCACTATCTCAGTCACCCATGATAATTGCAAAAAGTGCTCACAGCATATGTAATTATTTTACATTTTCACAGCGCAATCCACACACGCACCCAACATATGCGCGTGTGCATACAATTTTTCAATCCGGGATAAAACAGAATTCACAATCGGCTTTTAAAAACATATTTAATCAAGTTAATTTCATCGAGTTTTTTTTAGCTTTATAAGCCAGAATATGTAAGAATAATGATTAAAATTGAACTAAAATTTCATAATCTGTAACTCAAATTATATATAATCTTAAAAACTTCCATCACCTCATCACATATTAAAAATTGCTCAAAAACTACTCAGTCATAACAACTTTCATACAATATTGCCATGCAAACAATTTAATCAATATAAATAAATAAATAGAAATATATACGAATATATGGCGTTACTTAAATAGCACATGTCTAACATATCATACATTACCATTGTTATGAACATTTGAGCAAAGAAGCCAAATCAATTGATGAATGACGATCTTTATAAATCATACCCCTAGTAAGAAAGATAAGAACATTTTTTCAGAAAAAAAAACTATCAAATCATTACATTAAAAAACCTGTACCTAGTAACAATAGATAGCATAACCAACATCGAAAACACCAACAATCCTATAACATTAACACTCATGACATCAGATAATAAATAACTGTATCTCATTTTAAATTAAACATGAGATAAAATTCAGCTGGAGAATATAAAATTTTTTATAAAAAATTAGCAACATCAGCATGTGGATACATTAATCTTGTGAAAATTAATTGAACACGATTAATTAATTAATTAATCTAAAAAAAGAAACTAAACAGAAAAATAAAGATAAAAAACGTTAATGAGAATAACAGCTGTTCATTAAATAAAAACAATCAATCACACCTTAAATGGCTAAGAGTCATTGATAAATGAATAATACACTTTCTTAAAATTAATATTGAGAAAAAAAAATAATAAAAAGATTATTAATAATAAAAGATTAAAAATTTAAATTTCTCAAACGACACATCAAAGGCATCACGAAGGTTGCAATAGCAAATGCAAATGCATGCCACGCTACTAACTTTCCTTCTATTAAACCAGTCAACAACAACAAAAACAACAACAACAACAACAACAGTTGATAGCAACTGAATGATATCATTGTTCACCATGCTATGCTGTAACATCAAACTGAAGCCAGATATCATTCATTTACATTTCATTTCATCATTTTCAGAATCAACAGACTGGCAGGCTGCTATCACTTATTCATCATTAAACACACGCAACATGATGATAAAATATGACAGCAATCATTAACCAAGCAACATCCCCAATCACCATCCTCATCATCTTCCCCATCCTCATCATCTTCATCTTCCCCATCCTCATCATCTTCATCACCATTACCCTCAAAGCCAGGTCACAGGTCAACCCTTTCTATTCATGCCCTTAAAATTTCAGTCCAACTAATGTAGCGATGGAGTTTATTTTGGCGCCACTTGCTTTTTCTTCCTCTTCTCAAGAATCGGGTTCTTTGATTCGTCGAGCCTTTTTATCGGGGCCTGTTCGTAGTCCACTCTCATGGTGGCCAGAGCATTGGTCATTTCATCCTGTGTGTTCAATTATTTTCTCACTGCATTCAATTGCCAAATTACATGAAGAACATTTTTTAAAAATATTAAAATACCGTTGTTTGAATTTTTAACCAAGCACACACCTACACACTTACACAAACTTACACACACACACACACACACACACACACACACACACACACACACACACACACACACACACACGCACTTACAGAGACAATCACACACATACACTGGAAACGAAATGATACGCATGAACATTTCAGAGATATAGATACCTGAACATCTACCCAGTTGGCTTTGTCTTCCTTGAGGACTTGTACGGAGACCAATGGAGTGGGTGGCACTAATGTGTGTTGCTGGTGTAAAAGAATGAGAGAGAGAGTTCATATTAATATTTTAACGTCGAATTCATCATCAGCTGTATTCGATACAGGTGATGTATTGGCGACTAACGTAAAATATACACAATGACTTAAAGTAAGTAAATTTAATTTTAAAAAGGTGAAAAACATTATATAAAAGAAGAAATTAATATCCCAAACCACAATGCGACACAACATAATTAAACAATACAAGACAGATGAACACACACACACACAAACACACACATACACACGCACGCACGCACACACAAGAAAAACAAGAGATACTGACAGCAACCCAGTTGTGGTGCATAACTTCCTTGATGGTTAGCCTCTTATCCGGCTCTGTTATCAACAAGCCTTTTATCAGGTCTTTAGCTATAAGATGGAAAAATATCAAACTATTTTTAAAATAAAATTTATAATAATAATAACATGAATAATACAAATACTATATTTTATTATATTATAATATTACAAATAATAAAGCGCAGTATAATTAGTGTATTATTAGTGCGTTATTTATAAATGCTGCCAGTGAGTAAGGCAAGATGCAATTTTAAAATAAACGAAGAATTCATGGAAATCTGTATTAAATAACTCGATGATACATCTAGTCACAAAATTTCCAATGAATTAAATTAATTAAAAAAATTAAATTAATTAGAATCATTATATTTTGTTTTATCAATTAAATTAATTTAAACTATGTTAGGACAAATTCCAGAGGTAGGAAGAGAGTAAAGATTATTGAGAATCTATAATAAAGAAATTGAAGAACACCAAACTCTAAGCTATTTTTTTAAATAGCATATAGTTTCAGCGACTAAAGACGTACCATATAAAAATTAAATAAATCTTGCTAGTGAGACTAAACTAAAAAAAACATTCCGTTACTCTAGGTAAGAGATAAATAGCAGCACCAGCACCTCTAGTTACTTTAAAAAATGTAAAAAAAAAAAAATAATACGAAAGGAAAAAAACTAGGCCTGATTACATACAAGGCATACGCCATTATAGAAATTATATTTTTCAATAAATACCCCCCACACACACCGAAACTAATTATAATTTACACATTACATATATTCCCACACTAAGTTATAAAGTTCTTCATATACCACATAATTTTATTTTGCCCTCTAGCTCCCAGGAGAGATGAAGCAATTGCAAAGAGCAAAGAAAACACATCATTTAAACGTACACACCATCCTTGGACACTCTTGACCACTCCTCTTTTGGGAATTCGTACTTCCCATTCCTAATCCTCTTCTTCATGCCGGGAGAGATTGGCTGGCCGTGGTCACTGTAGAATGGAGGGTAGCCGCAAATTCTGCGAGTGTAGTACGATGGTCAGGTTAAATGGAATGATACAAATTTGTCTAACTAGGCAGAAAACATTGTACGTATTGCACGAAATGTACATACATAGGGTGGTATACAATAGAAGTATGACTAAAAATTTTTTTTGGCAATTTTTGGTTTCCCATGCCACTATGAGTGGAGAAATTACATTTTAAAACTGGAAATATCATTTGAAAGTGTTGAATCTTAAAAAGTTCACCCCCCTAAGCTGAAAACCGTTTTCTCCCATCTATCTATTGTTAGATACAGTACAGTTTAAGGTATCACAGCTTCAGTTTATTGCTGGTGTGATTTTGCTATATGTATGCATGCTTATTACATAATCTTTCTTATTATATATTATATTTGTTATCATCACCTGACTTTTGATATTTTATAAACTTATTTTGATAACCTAAACTCATAAGATTTGTTTATTTGTAGATAATTAAATTTACACTCAAATTATAATTCCACAGGACTATAGTCAAGATGTCTAAAAATAGTCTTCCTTCAGATTTGAATAAGAAACTATGGGAATCAAATTTGGTGAGATTTGAAACAGCCAAGAATTCAAAAAAGTATGCAAAGATTGTTGACAGTCTTGACCAAATGAACAAAATGCCAACAGAACAGCATATCCTGGACAGATTTAAGTGCTTGGCTGCAAATGTGAAAAGTAGACAGGAGAGAGTTGTGATAGTGGTCAAAGAAGTAAAAATCTTATGGAAAAAACTGAATCTTCCAATTCAAAAAGGCAAATCTACAGTGGAAAGAAAAATTGAGAATGTACTAAACAAGTATGAAAAAAACAGCAGAAAACCAGGAACGCAAGACTTTACCAACTTGTTCAACGTAACTGATGAAAATGGAGAATAGTTGTGTAGGAAGATAAAGCCCTCTATAATCTTCAGATGTCAACAAATGGTAGAGCTGGCTACTGCACCACAATTGAAGATACACAAGGAGTTCATCCTAGAAAACTAAAGTTGATTAAGCAAAAAGTCAGTCAAGATACTAAGGATGATTTAAACAGTGAAGATGAAGAACAGCAAAGTCAGTAAAAATACTAAGGATGATTTAAGCAGTAAAGATGAAGAACATTTTAACACTGAAGAAGAAAAACAAGATTCTGACAGTTGTTCTCAAGATTCAGATGCTCTGAAAGAAGAAATTGTTTGGAGAGATGATATGGCTTTCCTTCATCACTTGATCACTTGTTACAGACAGTTTAAGAAAACAGGATGCTTCCCTAAAGTAAATTTCAGAACTTTGCCAAATATAAGCAATGCAAGATAGAATAGCCGAGCAATCTATGCTTTGCTAGCTTATATTTTACTTCCAGAATTTCGACAGTCAGCCAAAGGTCAGTCATCATGTGACTTTATTACTGGCACGTGGAGTGACTTCTGGTTTTCTGGTCAGGTTTATAATCAGGATAACTACAATAATTTGGCAGCCGTCTGCAAAGATCACTCAAAGGCAATAAAGACTTTAAGGACTTTTTGGTCGGTTGAGCCGACTCCAATCTCAACTCAAAGGTCAAACATTTGTGCTGAACGTGCAATTAAAGTTCTGCAGGATTTACTTCTATCGTGCAAAAGCATTGAAAAAATTAACATTAAATTTCTTTTGACAAATGAACACTAAAACCTGTATGTTTGTATTTCTGATTAAAAAAACATTTTGTACAATACAATGTATATATAATATAAATTTAATTAAGGGGGTGACATTTTTTTTAAAGTTGACACTTGCCATTGGATTTTTCTTGATCTTTGCATTAAAACTCCACAAAAAATAACATGGGGATAGGGTCTTTAAAAATTGTCATATCCCTAGTGTACAATTAAAAATGTCGTTGTACATGCAATTTAAGAAATATGAAAATACAAGACATTATAATTAAGATATTGTCAATGGCAATAATTATCCATTCAAAAGACAAAGACGTAGAAATAGTAATTAATAATAAAAATCCGGATGAAACAAACAATAACTCAATAAATCAAGGTATATATCAATCAATAAATAGGAAACTTATATAGCGCCAATTAAATGTTCTCAAAGGCGCTATCGTAATTATATAAACATAGAAGTCTACAATACTATTAATATATATTAATACTACTAATATATATATATATTCTAAAAAAAAATTATGGTCTTTTACCAACATAGATATATATGTATATTGTGAGAGTTAATAAAAGCCAACTAACAATATGTAGGTGATGACACCGAGCGACCACATATCACATGATTTGTCATACTTCTCTGGGCCCAGGACCTCCGGAGCTGCCAGATAACATTAAATAAAATAACATCAATGCATCAATCATGTTGAAAGAAATTAAGTGAAAGAAATTTGATGCATTGAAACGATAATTGGTTAAACTTGAAAAAAAAATCCGTTACTACGTTATTAATTTATTTCATATTAACTGACAATTGAGTAACATAATTCTGAAAGACATCAGAAATCTTTTTTTAGTAACTAATTACTCTAATTTGGCTATTTTACATAATAATAATATCCATTTAACAAGCAAACCACTGGTATAACAAGCAACTGACCGACATAGTATGGAGTGTAACATGGAGTTTGTAAGGATTTATGAGCATTTGTCACTTTGGCAAAACCAAAATCGGTCAACTTGAGTTTGGCGTCTGGCTTGTGGCTTGTGTATAGGAGATTTTCTGGCTTTAAAACAAAAAATATGAACATAAATCATTAATATCTAATCTCATAATAACCCATCTCTACATCTAATAAGGAATAATGAAGAAACATTTCACATTAAAACATCCCAGATTCAACCTAGGCAAACATCATTATAACAGTAGTTCATCAAGCAACCTATAAGATTTGAAAGAAAAAATTCATTTCATTATTAAACAATTCAGTCTAATATTAATATAAACTATAGAACTATAAGACAAATAAATAAAATATAATTCAGATGTTATAGTCATTTTTCAAAAATTCATCAGTTTTAATAAAACTGAAGATGTATTAATGAGGTGTAAAGTGAATCAATTGAATGATTCATAAAAATAATAACCACCATGCCTAAAATGAGTTAGTACACAACCAGAAACACACACACACGCGCGCGCACACACACACACACCAAACACAAAACATGCGTTCAGACATGTTCAATTGAAATTCACATCAACAGTCCTTTATCTAGATCATTATCTGTATACAATCAACAAAACTAGATAATTAATTAATTAATTTATTTATAAGCCGTTTATGACTAAACATCCAATCCAATTACTCTGGTGTAATGTTTTAACTTTTGTCACAGCAATAAGACACAATCTACAACACATAGTATATTAGGAATCCGGCTAAAGAGATAGCAAGCCACCAGATGCATTTTTACAAGAGTTGTAAAATCCAAAATATGACAAATTCT